GGTAGAATTTCAAAAGCGTGGACTACCACATGTCCATATAATCATTTGGCTTTCAAAAGAAGAACCTCTAGATGCTGAAAAGGTTGACCTACGTATTTCAGCTCAATTACCAAATCCTACACTTGATCCAATAGGATTTGAAGCTGTTACTTCTTTTATGATCCATGGGCCTTGCGGTCCTAAAATTTCCTATTCACCATGCATGTCTGAAGGAAGGTGCTCCAAATTTTATCCAAAGGAATTCTGTGAACACACTTATATATTGCAAAATGGTTTTACCCAATACGCACGACCAAACAATCAAATAGTTGTTACAAAAAATTGGGTTGACATTGACAACAGATTCATTGTTCCTCATAATGTTGATTTGGTGGTTAAGTACCAAGCTCACAAAAATGTGGAAAGTGTTAATCATGATGGTATGCATAAGTATCTTTTTAAGTACGTTACAAAAGGCTATAATTGTTCTAGAGCTGGTATTCGTCGTAATTCAGCAAATGAAACTATAAATGAAATAGACAACTATCTTGAATGTCCATGTGTAACCCCAAATGATGCTGCTTGGCGTTTACTTCAGTTTGATATACACCATACAGACCCATCAGTTGAACGCCTTCTGGTCCACCTCCCTTTAGAGAATAATGTTGTGTACACAGAGGATGATGACCTAGAAGAAGTCATTGAAAACCCAGGAAATTAGAAATCCAAACTTACTGCATGGTTAGAAGCTAATAGTCAATTTCCTCAAGCTAGAGAGCATACATATATTGAATTCCCTGAATACTTTACATGGCATGCAAGTGGAAAATATTGGGATATACGTCGTGGTTGTTACAACAAAATTGGACGTATAGCTCATGTTGATCCAACCAAAGGGGAGAAGTATTATTTGAGGATGTTACTCCATATAGTTAAAGGACCAAAGACCTTCTCAAATCATAAATATATCTGGACAGCAACATCCAACATTTCGAGTTGCATGTGAAGCTCTAGGTCTCCTTGGTGATGACCAAGAGTGGTCCCATGCTCTCAATGATGCAGTGCACTGGGCCTTACCTTATCGGTTATGTCAGTTATTTGTAACAATCTTACTATTTTGTGAGGTGACAAATCCACAAACGCTTTTTACAGAACATGCCCAACATATGAGTGAAGATTTTAGATACATAACAAATCAAAATCTATCACAAAGTAATAGTTCATTTACAGACTCTTTTGTTGGCAATGCCCTATTATTTGAATTGGATAAATTATTGAGAAATGCTGGATATTCTTTATCACACTTTAATTTGCCACTTCCAGATGATATTGGTAGTGCATCTGCAGATAATAGATTATTACTAGATGAACTCAGCTATGATATTACCAGCATTGCATCTACATCTGCTAATGACATCAATAGTCTGAATACAAACCAGAAGGAAATCTTCAATTCTATTTCTAACTCAGTCATAAATAATGAGGGAAGAACATTCTTTGTGTATGGATATGGAGGAACTGGAAAAACTTTCTTATGGACAACTTTATTAAACTTTGTGAGAACTCAAGGGAAAATTGCATTAGCTGTTGCATCATCAAGAATTGCAGCCCTCCTACTTCCAGGAGGTAGAACACCTCATTCCCGCTTCAAAATCCCTTTGGACATACGTGAGAATTCTATGTGCAGTATAAAGAAGAACACACACTTAGCAGAACTTATTCAACAAACATCTCTTATTGTTTAGGATGAAGCACCTATGAATCACAAGTATTGTTTTGAAGCATTAGATCGCACACTTAGAGATATATTATCGGACATTCGACCTAATGCACAGCATAGGCAATTTGGTGGAATAACTGTTGCATTTGGTGGAGATTTTCGGCAAACACTTCCTGTTATTCAGAATGCAACAAGGCACCAAATTCTGCGAGCTTCTATTGTTAATTCATGCTTATGGCATCAATGTGTAGTTCTTCAACTGACTGAAAATATGAGACTTAGCTCACAAAACCTTTCACCATCCGATAAAGAAGAACTACGGGTATTTGCAGATTGGCTTTTAAGAGTAGGAAATGGTACAGAGCCTCATATTTCAATAGAAAATGAAACCAATGGTACTTTTATAGAGATACCCCAATCTCTTCTGTTGCCCTCAGATTCCAGAAATCTGGATAGCTTGATTTCCTTTGTGTATGACTTAGGATATGAACCAAGCAATATTACAACATATTTTTGTGATCGTGCAATTTTATCACCAACAAATGAGGTTGTTTCAGAAATAAACAACAAAATCATTGCTCAAGTAACAGCTGCTGAAATGTCATATTATAGCTCAGATACTATTGATGATAGCTGTGCAAACCATTCAACTCGAGAGGCTCTATACCCAACAGAATTCCTCAACACAATATCTTTGAATGGACTTCCAGACCATGTTTTGCATCTCAAAATTGGTGTTCCTATAATGCTTTTGCGTAACCTTGATCCTTCTAGAGGTCTCTGTAATGGGACTAGACTTATTGTTACACAGCTCACAACCCGCATCATTGAAGGGGAAATAATGACTGAAAAAGCCAAAGGTTCAAAAGCATACATACTGCGTATTATAACGACATCAGCCCAATCTAAGTGGCCATTCAAGCTAAAAAGACGTCAATTTCCAATATGTTTTTCATATGCGATGACAATTAACAGAAGCTAAGGTCAAACACTTCAAAAAGTTGGTACATACTTGCCATCTCCAGTTTTTTCTCATGGGCAATTATATGTTGCGTTATCACGAGTAACATCTCCAAAAGGCTTGCGGATACTTATAAACAACAATAGTTCATAAAATGAACATTGCACGCAAAATGTAGTATATCATGAGATTTTTCACCGTATCAACAATGATATGAATTAGTTACCAAGGTATTTTGTAAACAAATTATCTCTTATATGCAATGTATGTTTTCTGATATTGTCTACTAGCTAACCTTAGACCTCTTATTTCAGGAACATTTCCATAGATGGGATCAGCAACAAAACTCAAACAGATAAATTTGGGACAGCAAAACCTCAAAGTTTTCGGACTACTTATTAGACTATGGGATGCTAAAAACATGGCCTCAGCCAGTACACCAACAATATTTAGCATCGATGGGGTAATTCTTGATGAAGAGGTATACTATCCTACACCAAAAAATGATTAATCCTATGCTTAACTTCCAATCTAAATATTACTGACAAAACAATGCAGTTTTAGACTTATACCAGTTCTAATCTTGCAGGGCACTATGATGCAGTTTACTATTCCAAAGAAACTTGAAAATGAATTTCGTCCATCACTAACTCTAGGCTGTGTCTACATGTTTGTGGATGTCAATACTGCTGACATTAAAAACAAAAAATATATTTACCACCACCAAAAATACATGTTGCAGTTTAAGTCCAGCACAAAGGTTCATCACCTAGAATCAAGAGGTTCATCCATCCCAAACTATGGTTTTGAATTCTGCCCATTTGATCAGATACCATCTAAAAGCAGAATATCAAAACCATTGATAGGTAATACTTGCATTTTCTATCTTCTTTTATTTAATTATTATACAACTAATCTCAAACATTTTGCCTCTAGATCTGATAGGAGTTATCAGCCATGTTGGGCCATATGATTATGCTGGCAAAACATCATCCAAGAAAAACAGAAAGCTCAAAATCCGTAACAAAGAGTATGTATCACATATGCATTATATTTTTATGTTCCAAATGTATATGACACAGTAGTTTATACCTTTTGTTTCACCAATTTGTAGTGAACAAGAACAAGGAATAGTCCTCTGGGGTGAATATGGAGAGTCATTTGATGAAGCTTTTGTTCTACAGAAATCTACAGACCACAAAATAGTAGTAGCTATACTTGTTGGACTTACAGCAGGGACTTATTTAGGTCAGTCCCTCAAATAACTTTTTAATACCCCCTCTCATAAACAACACTACTCACTTATGTGCTACAATTTTAAAAGGCAAAACAGAGGCTACATCAAGTTTAGCAACACAAATATATTTTGACTCCGATATAACAGAGATTGTTGAATATCAAAGCAGGTAACTTATATAGCTTATTATCATACTGATTTTAATTTATATTTTGCTTCAAAAATGCATCAATCTTCCTTCAAGCTACCAATGGGATATTCCAACTCTCCAACAACAAATGCCACGAGTTGAGCATTTAACTCCACTTCAAGCGGCTGGTAAGCTATACAAACTTGAAGAAATATCAAGACTGCCCATTTCTGCTTTCGAGGTACCTCATTCACACTACATCACTAAATAAGTTGCTAATCTAATTAAATAATCATTTCAATATTTCTTACACACTAGGGAGGGAATTCATACAGTTGCATTGCAAAGGTATCAGCGATAGTACCATATACAAATTGGTACTACAAAATATGCAAATCATGTACTGCATCATACAATAGCAACTCCGACACTCCAAGATGTCAATGTCAGCATTCCATGCCAAAACCAATGTATGTGACATATCTATAATACTAATTTTTCTTATTAATTAATTCGTCTTACATTTCTATAAACAAATCTAATATACTCAAACAAACTTTCAGGTACAAACTTCCTTTAACAATTAAAGATGAATTAGGAACTTTGGACGCAGTAGCATTCTACAATGTGGCTGAGGATTTGGTTGAGGTAAATGCTACTCAAGCTACCCAGAACTTGAAAATTGATGCAACCGAACATGCCATAGCTCTTGATACAGCCATTGGGAAAACAAGACTGTTTCACATTGCCATGAATACAAAGTACTCTTCACACTTCACTATCAATTATGTCCTCAAGAAGAGTTATCCCGTTGAAAATGAAAATACAAGTTTGATGCTACCTACTCTGGAAAATACAAAGGTAGCAAAGGTATACAAATGTTTGTCCTTACCATATCTTCTACCAACCATCTATAATCTAAAAATAACTTTTTTCAGGAATCAGCCACCAAACAACTTGCAACAGATGAAGGGCTAACCACCATGGAACATTACAGGTTAACCAACATATGCCTTTTTTACTTATTATATTCTGCTTAACATTTCTATATTTATGACTACAACTAATAGCAGCAAAGAAGACCAACATCCCACTACGCCACCGTCCCTACAACCTCCAGAAACAACTCTAGACAACAATACAGTAAACCAAATTATACCTTCAGCAAAGAGAGCTCTTCAATTTGAAAAGGAGTTACACATTGATCAACCAAGGTACTGCACTGATACAAGTTCTTTTTGCAGAATATACAAACTATTCTTCAACTAAATTCCTTTCATATATGCATCAGCCCAGCAATTGCAAACACTATTCAGGTTGCAACAAATCAACTTTATCATTCCCAACAAGTAGATCTCAGCAAGGAAAAACAACCGTCAACAGAATTTTCTCCAGGACAAAATTCTAAGCGCCATAAAAAAGTGTACGTGCACACCTTAAGTTTCAGCCTATAAACATATATATGTGTGTCACGCGCGCGCATATATATATGTATGTATGTTTTGCTACTAATTTGACTGCTAAATTCAGAATGGAAGCCTCCACCAATGGAGAGGAAAACCAGCTGCAGCAGCCAAAGATAGCTGATCAACAGCCATCGGGTCACAAGGAACAGGTACAACTCTTCAAATCCTTCACAATTCTCCTACAACATGGCCTTTTATCAGCAACATATATAGTTTTTCTTAAAAAAATTAGACCTGCACCAAATCTGTCACCATCACTGCTAACAATTTCCTTAAGAAATTTAAACCTGCACCAAATCTATCACCATCATTGCTAACTTATCTTTGCAACCATTACTTGCAAGTTTACTGGCAAAACCAACCAAATCTGAAATATGGCATTTATATCTATTCCATATTTTATCCTCAATAATAAAAGACTCAAGATATGATTCTTAATCATATCTGATTCTGCAATAAATGAGAAAACAAAATTAGTATCCTTATTATCACCAGTGAAATACTATAAGAATCACCCACAACACCACCACATGTGCACTGCTCAATTTCTCATACCACAGTCCTTCCTTCACAAAATTTCTTCTGCAAACACAACGTCCATTGCCAACACAGATGGACCAACAACCAGAAAAAAATAGGTTAGCTCTCGCTATCCATGTTCAGCTATAGCTTCCTAATTACATAGTTTTCAAGCTTATATTTTATATTTAACATGCTTCATGCATTTCAGTGCTCTGTACATTGTATATGCCTATCTATACATCATAAAACGCATTACTCTTCTTCAGGAACCATGAGGTGCAACTCATCCACACCAACTACCTGCAAGCAGTTTCCAAGATTATTGCATCCAAATCAACAGCTATTTCTATCACTCTCCAAGGGAAATCATCCACCGACGACCTCTCCAAGCTGCAGCCAACTCAAGCTCACGTTGTGAATTACATGAAAAATAAGCTTCCTCACATGCATATCATTCTCGATGGAGAAAATGTCAAAAACAATGAGATTTAGAACTTACAGTTTCCTACTGTTTCCAGCTCACAGTATTACTACCTACCTACAGTTTGCTGTAATCGAATAAACAAAACTTTATGGGACCACCTATACATTTGTTGACAAATTTTCTCCTAAAAATTTGACAGATGTAATTATAATACAATCGTAGTGTAATTACACTGTAACTTGTATGTAATTACACTATAACTTACATGTAACTATAGTGTAACTTGTACGTAAGTTTCACGTAATTTTGAAACGTTAGATCTATTATAAGATTTGTTTTGGTGAGGAAGAAAAAAAATCACAGCACACACATATGTGAAAGAATTTGTTCCCACAACCTCTATTTTACCGAAATAACATGTTATGGAGAGATTTTTGAAAGTTATATACAAGTTACATTATAGTTACAGTGTAATTATTGCAAGTTACAGTGTAATTACACTACGATTGTACTGTAATTACATCTGTCAAATTTTTGGGGGAAAATTTGTCGACAAATATATAGCAAAATTGAACTTTATTTTATATTTGCATGTGTTTCACTCAACTTATATTTATCCTCTGGTGAAGATCTTGGTGTTCCTAACAATATTCTGCTTGCAATGTTTCTAGTAAATCTGAATGGTGTTGTCATTGTGACTATAAATTTCCAACTCCTTGGACTCGAAATGAGTTTTTTGTGCTTGGCACTTTTAGCAATTGATGATGCAAATATCATCTTTAATTGATCACATAGCAGAACTGCTTACTTTTGAAATTGTATACTATACTATATTCCTGTTTGGTTAGGTAGCAGAACTACTCACTTATATCTCACTTATTCATGTTTATTCATACTTACATGCATATTCATCCTTTCTAATGTGCCCGCCGCAACACGCGGGGTTTCAACTAGTATGTATAATGCATATGTCACATCAATTAGATAGAAACCACTTTGCAAAACCACCCTACAATGTTTTATGAATGGTATTTTATAGTTCAGGGGTTGGATGTCCTGTTTCAAAGTTTAGGAGAGAACTTGGACCTTTTTCCCTTTTTAAAACTGAAGATGTAGATTTGCCTTATCAAATATTTTGACATGAACTTTCACATATATTATTCAATTAAAATAAGTGGTCAGGCACAAGCTTGACATGAATTTTAACACCATTAAGTCTTCTTAACGGAAAGGGGGCAAAACATAAGCTTTAGCTAAAAAACGAGGACAGAATCATAAACCTGGAAATTGGAAAAGTAGAAGATGCCCCTATGAGAATTTAAGCCACCCAAACAAGTTTCATCTATGAGAATTTAAAGAAGATTTAAAGTTTCATCTAATTGATGAACAGAAAGAACAGACGAGCTTGTTTAGTTTGCAAATTTACATTTATTATTTATTCCGTGCACAAGAACATAATAACATGATCTTGATACACTACTAACTATATATTATAAATAAGTTTCTACCAATGATTTCATTTCCCTCTAATTAACTGTGACTCGAGGACAGCAGCTTTGCAATGCTGCTACCTACGCGCGCCCAATCTTCTCCACCAGCCGCCTCTCAATCTCCATCCTCTTCCTCATGAGCACCGTGTACTTCTCCAGGAGCTCCTTGTCCTCCACACCCTCTCCGGTTGAGACGGCGAGCTTTGCACCCAAGGAGGTCTTCTCCAGGTTACCCTGGTACATGCAGGAGATGGGGACGAAGCTCCCTTCCTCATTGCACAGCCAGCCATGGGCAGCTCTCAGTGCCGCGCCAAGCGAGGCAGAATCTGATCAAGAAGCAGCGTTAGTTTTTTGCTTGAATTTATGGGTGACATTACTAGTTTCAGCAAACAGGAAGCTGCGCAAGAACAGAAAAAAAAGGTGGAGTTAAGGTGCTGTACCAGGTCTCTGAACTGTAAAGACAGGACAGCCAAAGATCTGCGCGATTGAGTGGAGGATGCGCTCGTTGGAGGATGCGCCACCGGTTGCGATGATCCGCTTGGGAGGGTTAGGCATGCCGAATCTCTCGGCATGGCCTCGCATTGACAGCAGCTGGCCTTCGATTATGGCGCGAACCTAACACAACAAGGGATGATGGTGATAAGGTTAATGGGCTCGCCACGAAGAAACAAGTATTTTGATTGTCTTTGCAAACCTCAGATGGTGGATCAAATTCTTCCACCTCACGTTCCACCAGATTGTTGGATGTGACATCATTGAGGTTTTCAACAATGTATCGATGGAAGCCAACTGCATAGAATAAACCATTGTTTTTCATGATAGAGAATAATGTAAGAATACCGTGAAGAGATGTAAGAAACACTAAAATATGATTACCTGGAAGTGGCGGCAGAATTTCATGGTCTTTGTAGTAGAATCCTAATTTTCCGCCTATATGTTAAATAAAGAAGAATGACAAGATGTCAAAAGCACAGTTCGATTCACACAAGAAAATTGATGAAGGAATATTAATAAGATAAATTTAAAATAACACTATGTATGAAAAAACGTAGCAAGTTTGAACAAATAATAGTTGAGACTGCAGTGAACATTTAAATTGCTGATTTATTTTGTATGTACTGAAACACTATAAATAACCTGATGGAAAACAAGGTTGCTGGAACAGAAACGAGCAAGAAAATGTTAGTAAGAACTTATATTAAGAAATTTCATTTCAGTAAGAACGTACCATTTAGAGGTGGAGTTTTCTCTAGATAACTGTTGAAAACATCCCAGGATTTCTCCGCGCAACTGTTCCGCACATCTACAAACACATTGAACATATTCTAATATCAGAAAAGTCCCAGTACTACAATGGATTACATGAGAAAAAAGGATGGAAAGTATTATACCTTCTCGGGTCAATGAACCATTTTTGTAGCACAGCATCACCATATAACCATCAGGTTCAACAGGGTTAGGGAAAACATGGCCTTCAAGACTTGGTTTAGCTTCAGCAGTTATCCCAAAAACCTAACAGGCAATTTGGAGATGAGTAACCCAGGAGCCTGAGAAAGAAAAGCCAATTCTACCAAAAGTGGCATCTTTGCAACTTACAGTATCACTAGTACCAAGGCTAATTGCAAGGTCACCAGGAGTATTCAGAGTTAAACCTAAAGAAGACACATCAAAATAAGAATAATTTAATGGTCCGTAGTTAACAAATGCATTGAAAAGAAGAAAGAATTACAAAATCTCGAGAAAGAAAGCAAGAGAAGCACCTGCAAGGCTATTGGGATTGTCTCCAGACCATTGAATAACTAAGCAATTCTTATCAAACTGAAGCCTGCATTTTCATAATGCATCACTCAAACAAAATTTAGGGCAACAAATATTTGTTTGTTCAGTCATCAGATGATATCAGCTAAAGTTTTGGCACAGCTAGCTTTCCCATTCACATATTATTTCTTTTCTATATGTTGAGGACAATTCACCTAAATCCCCTTGACAAGAATATGAACAGAGGGAGTGTAATCTGAATCTGTCAGCTATGATAGAGATGTTCCTTATTTTCATTATGAATCTGTGGTCGAAAATGTAGTAGATTATAAGAAATGATTAAAGAGAGTAATTAGCCCATTTGATGCCAAGTTAGGGAACAGCCAAATGCCGAAACACCTTGCGATTATTCAATTCCAGAATTTCAAACACCTTGCGATTATTCAATTCCAGTCTTCCAGAATTTCTTTTCTTTTACAGTTGTACTGAGTGCAAGAACAATGGAGAATGGTAAAAGAAACTCACCTTTCTACAAAATAAGGAGCAATTCGACCAGCTACTGCATATGCTGGTGCCAACTTTCCAAGCTTCTCTTCAAGCCCAGGAGCCGTTGCCTTCAGGAGAGAGGGCACAATTTTGATATTTTAGTATTAAAAAGATCTTGAAGGCAAAGTTTTTTAGTTATGTGAGAAATCTTGAATGCATGATAAAGGAGCTATCAGGGGCAGACCTCTAAAACAGTCTTTGACCAGGTTCTCTGGTTTATATCCATCAAGTTCATCCCAGCACCATCAGTCTCATCAATACTTGCATAGTTCCCCACCAGGATTGATGCCATGAACGAACTCACCAAAGATATTCTCTCAGTATCATCATAAACTTGCGGAACTGTTCGGTATATCTTCCGGATCTGAGGCCCAGTGAACCTCTCATAGGCACGAGATCCTGTCAACTTTGATAGCTCCAATGCGCCGCCTACTACACTTTCTATTTCTCTGCATTGCTTAGTTGTGCTACTGTCCATCCATATTGGTGAGTCCATGGTAGAAAAGGCATCCTTCAGCTGGGATAACAAGCTCTTAGTAGGATCCAAGGAAGACAACACCGCATGACTACCCTTCTTCCAATAAACACTGCCGTGTTGTTGCCCACTCCCTGAAATGGCCACAACCTTGCTAAAGTTGATCTTTGGCTTTAGCTTCTCAAGTAGCAATTCAAAGGCTTCAACCCACATTATTGTTGGTGAAAATATGTGGCCATCATCTGCAGGATCTCTGTAAACACCACCTTCTGTTTTGTAGTGCGGTAAGTCAGAATCAAAGTTAACAATATCTGAAGCTACTATTATCAATTCGTTGTTCAGCACGGTAGCTTTTAGGGACCTGTAACAAGAGATTAGCAATATAAGATTCCACTCTGATGGTCCCTAAAAAGGTAAAAGGAACAGCATGGAATACACAGAAATATAGATGCAAATATCGATAGTATGTAAGGTGATGTCAAATATCGATAGTATGTAAGGTGATGTCATGAGGCGATGGCTATCAATATGCAGGATACTGAAACAAAGCGAACACATCAATTGGAACTGATGCCAAAATGTGGTGTATCTTGCTTCTTTCTTTAAATTGAGCTTTATGGATTTAGGCAGACTAAAAATGAAGTTTTTTTTTTTACGCAAGACTAAAAAAAATGAAGTGACTCTGGCGTGCTCGGTTCAATGAAATTACCTTCACTGTCAACATAAAAAATAGCTAGCATGGACAAAGACTTGATCACTTAAATACAGGAACTCAGACATAAGGCTGAACTTCGAAGATTCAGACTATAACATGAATACAGGAATTCAGACATAAGGCTGAACTGTGAAGGATTCAGACTATAGCACCACCACTAGATATGGAACTCCATAAGCCCCTGTTCTCCCTATAATTCTCTGGTTTCCAAATTGCATGCAAGTCGTCATTTTTTTCTAAAAAAAAAAATAGACACTGAATGCAACTATTACGAACTTAATCTACCCCAACCCCTCCCTGATAGAATACCTGCGCAATTGCTCACATATGCTGATATGCATCTCCCGGATTTGCACAATGCAGATGAACAAAATAAACATTTTTTTTATCCTTGAATAACCGTCGTCATTTTGCCAATCACCTCAATTCCAAGCACTACCCAGTTTCCCCCCAATTCGAAATCAGCCTCCACTTACACTAACTAGTACGTTCTAGCAGACATCAAATTCCGCATCTAGAACACCGACCAATTCGCAAGAAACAACCACCCGCACCCACACAAAAGCCAAAAAAAATAAAAAGATCTAAGCCCCCAACTGAAAAACCAAGAGAAACCATCGGGCTTACTGAGTGGAGCTGTCGAATCCGAGGAAGAGGGAACCCTCCGGGAGGGAGCTCCGCCCCACCATGGCTGCCGCCTCGCCTCGCCTCCCGCGCGAATCCCCCCTCTCAGATTGGAACCGGAAGAAGCAGCAAAGCAACAAACTGATCTGGGGTACTACTGATTAGAGAGAGAGAGAGAATCAGCACGAACAAACGGCGCGGCGGTTTATATACACTGATCTGGATGGAGGTGGAGTGGACTCGTTTCAAACGCGCGACTGATTTGTTGTTAATTCGTTTGGATAAGGATTAGCGGCGTGATCTGGAGTGGATTAGCGCATAAAATGATGATGGATTAGCATTTAGCAAGCGCCCGCGCAACATTCTGTTGGGGTATTCATCGCTACGTTCGTTGAGGAAGTCTGTCAGATAATCTATCTATCCAATGCTCACTTACAGGTGGGGCCAGCGTTTTAGTTGGTAGGAGTAGATTCCATCTATCTTATCTTGCTCTAGGCCCCTCCTCATCTTTGACATCGTAGCTATTGTACTGCTGCTACTCGAAGCACGCCAGCATGGAACAACTGAATTTTGATGCCGTCTGCCGATCTATTCTTAGTACTTCACACAATCACGATTCTGAATCCAATTCAAAAGTTCTAAGTAGTATTGCAATTCACAGGGCCTGTTTGGTACAGCTCCGACTCCTAAATTTAGCTGTAGGAGTTGGGTCTGGAGTGAAGTCGTGGAACTGCCTAAATCTAGCTCCACAACACTAGTTCATTATGTGAAAAAACTTCACATATCTCCACTCCCAGTTTTAATGGAGCTGGAATTGTTTGGCTAAGCTCCAGGGATAGAGCTGAGCTGTGCCAAACAGACCATATAATATAATCGTATACATTAAAACCGTGAAATCGTAAATTCTACCTACGTAAAATTGTGGAATCAAGCATCTTAATTAGGATCATAAATTCGCATGACAGAGTCGAGATTTTAACCTTGCTCGCAACTACTCTCTCATGCCCTTATCCTTTGCAATATTAACTTCTTGTTCACAACTACTCTCTAATCCCCTTATCCTTGCCATTTTAACTTGAATTGCTAAGCAGACAGGGACACCTGAATACTGATCATCTGATGCCATCTGAATTCTTAATATACCTCACAAGTCACAACTACTCAAGAGTATATTAGAGAACGGCAACACTTATTATTTGTTTCCATGGCCATGACCTTTTATGCTACAGATTAATCGAATCAATGACTTCACGACAAACGAGTGATGGTCATGTGCTGGGTACATGAGTTCGAACCCATTGACACACGGTATGAACTCATGAACATCAACTTTGCAGAGTACAGTCTACAAGTTACAAACAATTCACTAGCAACAGCGCCACACTGCGCAGATGATTGAAGGATCAAGCAGAATAACAAAAAGATTCCAGTGATAAAACAATTAAAGCTGTGGGTTCTCAGCGTCTTATTCAGATCACTTCTCGGGTATTACTGAAGGAGGAGGAGTTTGCAGCACAGATTAGGAGTAATTGCTAGTGTAGAATTTCTTCAGGAAGTCTGAGGACCCTTGGTCTTTCTCCATATCCTGCACCAGTCCCTTTTGGCCGACCACATATTGCCCGATGACGTGATGGCGCTGCTTCGCGTGTTCGGTGATGTTGCCCAGCTCCTCCATCCCCTTAAACAGGAGCATATCAATGACCTGTTTGCAAACAAAAATAGCTTAGATGAGGCATTGATACAGTAAGGATTAAGGTAAGTGAGACAAAAAGAAAATGTGAACGACCAAATTTTCAGGTCATTCGTGATGCGTCATGAGAAGCTACAAACAACAAGATAATTCTGCACTGGTAGAAAATGTACTTAACATAAAGAGGGGCAACATAATACAGGGATCCCAAATGCAACACAATCACCAAAACAGGGGGTATGAGGGAGAAATTTATCATTTTAGATTGTGATGATCAATGAATTCAAATTGGCGTTTGATCAAAAGAAGCATTCATCTGAATTTACTGCACTCAGATACAATGGAGAACTGGGCAATACGAGCAAGGACTGGACCAAACCTGAGGTATGGAACAGAAGCATTCCCAATAGTATTCATGTGATCGTAACAACTCTAATCTAACAAACGACAAAAGGTATCCAAAAACAAAACATGAATTTGCTGCGTTTTGTTACAAAGTTGAGGTTTCTTCAAATATTGGATCAAATCAACGCGTGCAATCTCTGATCCTTGCAACTCAAGCTGATGCAGCTTTGGATTATCCAAGATAAAAATATAGATCCCTTTTACTGACATTAACATTTTTTAGTTTAAGTGCATGCTTCAGGTGAAGTCTTCCTAAGGGCCTAATCAAATGAGTGTAATTCAAATTGAAGCCAGCAAACATAGTTAGCCTACAAAGATGCAAATCATAACAAAAGAAAATGTTTCTTCAGGGGATCTAGAAACATGTACATGGAGAGGTGGTATGGATCTAATATTATGTGCATTGAATCGTATTCATAAGCACTCTTGCTCAATTAAACTGACAAATTTTCTCAATTTTTACAAGCAAAGGAGGCCAGCCGACAAAACCGCTCTCTCTAGTCTAAACTAAAATGCCAGAAGATACCTATCAGAAGATTGTGCAAAGACCAAAAACCTCATTAGACTGTCTTAACTGTGAGAGCCCGCATTGTACAGATGATATCCCTAGCTACTACTACCACCATCGACAAATGTGAATCGCATTGTTGATACTGGTAGTATAAATATAACATGGAAGCAGCAATGAAGTTCAGATAATCATGTGCTATGTCACAGAAAGTAGATCACTAAATGATATCCAGATGTCTAGATATAGAAATTGACCAACCATCGGTGAAAACAATTTACTGCCCACATAGCATCAAACCTGCCGGAATACTACTGTCCTTGAGGCAGAAGGTTAGTCTAAATCCCCTGCTGCAAACAAGAGGCTATCAAATCCTAGGTTAATCAAAACCTACCGATCCAGCACCTAACACCGATAAATCATCAACTCCCAAGGACCAGAAGAGACCAGATCGGAGAGAGCAGGCGAGCAGTTGGTTAAGCCACTAGAGAATTCTCATTCACGAGGCGCAGATCGACGAAATCGGGAAGACGGATGAAATCGATGGGGGTGGGTGCGAGGTTGGGACCTTGGGGTTAGTGACGCCCTGGTTCTTGCGGATCTCCTTGGCGATGGTGGAGCGGAGCTGGGACGGGGTGACGACGTCGTCGAGGTTGTAGATCTCCATGATGGAGGGGATGGCGCGGCACGCCTGCCTGAAGAAGTCGAACACGCGGTGCCGCGCCTCCTCCAGCGACGCCGAGTTCGGCGGCACCTTCACCGCGCGCATCGTGAACGCCATCTCTCTCTCTCTCTCCTTCTCTCCTCCGGCGAATCGGCCTCTCGCCCCCCGCAGCCGCCGCCGTCTGCTGCGCCGCCGCTCTCCGGTGGCTCCGATTGGTGGTGGTGGTGGTGGTGGATTCGAGCTCGGAGAGAGAGAGAAGGGTATCGGAATCCTCTCGCGGCCTTGTTGCCAATCACCAGCCGTCGGATTGCCTCGAGATTCGGGATTTGGTAGGTAGATATGGCCGCGTGCTGTCCTGTGAGGCCGAAGATGCTAAGGCCCAAGGCCTGATTAGCTAATAGCCTGAATTTTTTTTTTGTTTTGTTTTTTCGAAACCGGGTTAGTCTGAAATTTGCTTTGAGTTTCTGCAAGAAGAAAACAGAGTCTGAAATTTGTTCAAGTTTTTTGCAGTTGATTATGGCAAGGCAGCAAAAATAGGAGTAACATTTGTTCTACCGACACACCGACGATTAGAAGATAGTGCGATCTTCAGGTTCACATCAACCGAGCATCTTACAGAAACTGAAGTGAACTGGTATCCAAATGAATCTGAATTCTGATATCATTGTAAAATACTGATACATATCTCAAACATCACTACAAGATATATCTTTCAGTTCACGTGCAGAAATAGCCAAAAAAAAAACTGCAACTCAGTCTCGATCCCATGAACTTTTTCACCCTGACCATTCCACAGCGCTTCAATCTGGCCTGTTTTCAGGCTCACCATTGCACAAAACTTCAGTGGGGATGCCGTTCTGTTTCAGCGTACAGAACTTGAGATTTGAGGACCCAATCAAAAGCTAAGACTTGCTGTGGGTAGTATCCTTGCTCAAAACCAGTGAGGAGCAAAGCACGAAACAAAATTTATACCCAAAGGTATCCTTGGCTCCTTGCTCACAGGTTGAAGATCTGAACAGGCCAGCTACGCTTCCTGCCATCTGAGCTGATTCCTGTAGTTTCAATCGATATGTCTATGCTGCGGTGCTCAGAGGCCCTCACAATGCTGATGCGGGATCTGATCATCACAGCTGGGCACTCATCTGTGCCAACTGACGCAGATGAGACAACGGCTGATTCCTCCTTTGCCATTGCGATGGGCTCTTCAAAGGTGAAGATAGTTTGAGACCAGTGAGTCGGTGTGGAGAAAGGAGAGGTGGAGAGGTTGACTGGCTTCTCCTTGCAGAATCGGTTCGTAAAGCCAGTGTCAAACCATAATATAATGCCATAGCACCAGGTTACTCCAGATTGTGATACACCACTTTCACTGAGCCTCAGCTCAAAGCTTGAAGTAAAATCCATTTCATTTTCCTTCATAGTTGCCAGATCAAAGGACTGCATAGAAACAGAATAAACACAAGATGTCAAGTACAATTCCGTGCATTGGAAGGACATTCGAGCACAAAGGAAGTAGTATTCATTATGAATGTTATCTACACCTCCAGACGGTCAACCAAATCACAATTATCTCTTGATCTGTATTTCAAACCTCAACAAAAAGACAATACTGAAACATAAGTGCATAACCCAGTTGAAGCATGTAGGTCATGGGACTTACATTGAGAACAGCTGTCTCTGTCACAATATCTTCAGAAGCCAATATATCAACAACAGGAAATCTAGCTGAATTCCCTGTCACTTCTTTGCCAATACATGACATATCAAAGCCATACACATTTTCCCAAAATGGCAAGCTTGTTCCACCTTTCCCAAATCCAGCACCAAACTAGAAAAAATAGATCAGACCAAACAAGTGACCAAATAGCAGAAAATGGCAGACATAGAATGTAGGCAAAAGTTGCTACTTACAATTGTTGCAGTATCTGGGAGAATAGCACCTCCAGGTTTTAGAAAATGATCGCGTGCATATAGAACTGAACTGAGCATGGATTCATAGAGTAGGCAATATCCCATCCATTCGCTCACCAAAACATCAAATTTATTCGATGGAACTTGTATTTTATGGTTTAGCTCTTCAGCCTTGGTATGAACAACAGTTATCACTTGAGTATCTCGCTTTTGTTGCATCTCCATATTTTCATCGTACAGAAAACCATTACTTTTTGCAACCTGCATTTATGTAGTGTGTATGAGAGAAATCATAAATTAAACAAGAAAGGCAGTCTGATATTCTTTTTATTTAAAAAAGAACGTACTTCAGTAGCGACAGAAACCATCTTTGCACTCCCGTCAACAGCAATAACTCTAGAAGCACCAGCCTTAGCTGCAAAAAGACTATACAGACAGAAAGCATACATCAACAGCTCATTCAACATTCATTACTTGTTGTGTTTTGCATCTCAACAATATAATCATTACACAAGCAACTTGTATCATAAAATATACTCATGAATCAACCCAGGATTGCAACAACAATCTACATGGTAGGAATCAAATTCACCTTCTGAGGCAGAAGGAAGTCAGAATTCCTCCCAGTAGGCTATTACTTGAGTGCATTAGATCTAACCAAGCATTCTCAATTTTTTATTATGTACTACAAGTTTATGGCTGTTGCTCATTTTCTTACTTGCGGTACGTAGCATATAGACTTTTAGTGGATTCAAGATTGAGAGCATCAAGCTCATGCTAAAACAAAGTAACCCAAAAGAATTTTACACATGCATACCTTAGAATTCCCGTGCCACAACCAACATCGAGCACAGTTGCACCATTCATGAGGCTAGGATTGCCTAAAAGGGCATCTCTGTAAGCTTCTGTTCTTACCTGAAAAGGTCAGTCAGAAATTTATTAGCCGTTGGGCATTTTGGAAAACAAAGAGATAGTATATGTTTAGAAAAACAGTGTCAGGGTTTAACCTACTTTGTCACCAAGCATCTCTCTATGGATGCCAAATGAACTATACGACCCGAAGTAGCTCTCATCCACACTTTTAATTCCCCTAGCAGCAGCACTAGCACGTGCAATTTTTAACTGCTTGTCACTTGGCTCCTGAGCAAGAGACCCACTGCACTCCCCATCTGTACTCTCAATAGTACATGTTCTCTCAAATCTATCAATGACATCAGAACCATCATTGATAATAGATTTCAGATTGCTCTCACATGTTTCAGCTAAACTCCCATTGCCTGCTGAACACCCTCCCTTTTCCATTGGCATTCCACAGTCGTCCTCGTCATCATCATCAAAGACGGACAAACTGTGCAAAAGAGAATCATCCTCCAAGAATGGTTTTAAGTATACATCATCACCCCATGGAACCTTTCCCTCTAGTTGGGGAATCTCTAATGCATGCAAATGGCCGCATAGTTCGCTGTTGCTAGAGAAAACTTGCCCACAGCTCCAACATTTATTCTCCGCCACCTACAAATCAATCTTAATAAGTTCATAAGGTTCATAATAATCCATGAAATGGAGCAAAAAGGCACAGAAACTAACGAAATTGCAATCGAAATCAAGTGAGGTCTAGTTCATGACCACGCAAACAATTAGCACAACAATTAAATTAACTATATACGGAGTATACAGCTCGATTTCAAGCTGCTGAAGCTGAAACCCTGACGCACCTTGGACCGAACGAAGTTGATGAGCTTGATGCACCCGTAGAAATCCATCCCCGTCTCCTTCACGACCCTGTAGAAATCAAACCGGTGCTCGGAGGCGCAGTGCGAGAAGAGCGAGCTCTCGGAGTCGAACCGCGCGCTGCAGAACAGGCAGAGGAGCCCGCCGCCGCCGCCGCCGCCGCCCGCGTCGTCGCCGTCCGACTCCCAGTCATCCCACCCCTCCTCCCCCTCCTCCTCCTCCTCCTCCCCATCCTCGTACTCCTCCCTATCCTCTCCGAGCCGCTCTTGCTCGGGACGGAGCTCGTGCTCTCGGGTCGCCATGGCGCAGCACAGCAACAGCAGCAGCAGCTCGGTTAAACCCTAGACGACGATGGCTTTGGTCGGCTTAAGCCCTCGGAGGCGAAATCGTGGGCCGGGCCGGGCCGGGCCGAATTCTGATGAGGCTGGCAGGTGGGCCGGGCCCATAAGAGGAGGAGAGAGCTCGCGCCGCCCCCCACTCCAATCGTCAAAACCCTCGACGCCGCGGCGATCCCCCGACCACCTCGCCGCCGGCGATCTCTCCGCCTCCGCCTCCGCCTCCTTATCCGGCAAGGTAATCTTCCGAAAGTTATAGCGAGTAGTGACCACCCCCTGATTCACACTGAATGGTTTGGTTGGGTGTGCTGCCATTGCGCTTCCACTGCAGCTATCTCGTGCTTTTCCAGGGTATTAGGTTTGGGGGGGAGGAGAGTAAGTAGGATAACCAGGTTGTGCATGACTGCATTAGCTTGCCTCGCCGGGAAAGCAATTTCTTGGAGCAGGTGAGACGATTCCCCCGAAGTTTTTGGTAGGCTAGATGATGCAAGTGTGGTTGGTCTCTGTTTGGGCTTACTGTGCGTGTAATCTTCTGCTTTGCAGTGGTGTCAAAGCAGCGGCTGGGTGTGGTCTCGGCTTGCTTCCGCAGTGGCGCGGCGTGTTCCGGAGCGTGAGAATGGAGAGTGGGAGCTCTCAGGGTGGCCGTGGTGCCCTCATAGTCCTGGAAGGGCTGGATAGGAGTGGGAAATCTTCGCAGTGTGCTCGGCTGCTGTCCTTTCTGCAAGGTAAAGGTTGCCAGGCCGAAGGGTGGCGGTTTCCTGATAGAGGTACTAGTGTTGGGCAGATGATATCCGCGTACCTTGCGAACGAGTCGGAACTTGACGATAGGACAATCCATTTGCTCTTCAGTGCGAATCGCTGGGAGAAAAGGTTTGTTCTTTTCAACTTGTAAGATAAACGATATGTCGAACAGCTTATGTTATAGGTGGAAAATTTTCTTCAGTGATACACTATGTGCAGTGATGCAAGGTCTTTGTGGTTCTAAGTTGTAACTGTGGAGGTGTTGCTTTGGTCTGCCATTTTCAGAGCTTTGATGGAAAGAAAGCTACTTGGTGGAACTACTCTCATTGTTGATCGTTATTCTTATTCTGGAGTGGCATTTTCAGCTGCCAAGGGACTTGACATTGAGTGGTGCAAGGTGAGTAGGGTACCATGTGGCCATATTATGAATTTTTCTTTTCTAGCCATAAATTGTTTATAGCAGTAATCCCTCCTTTTTCCTTTTGTAGGCTCCTGAAAATGGACTTATAGCCCCAGATCTTGTAGTATATTTGGATGTACAACCAGAGGTATGCTATTTGTTCTCATTCTTCCTATGGCTATGTTCTAGAATATAGATTCCTTTTGTTAGTATTGAAAGGCAGGATTTCCTCAGTTTCATGCCTTTGACTCATTTGCATATTGTAGTGATGATAGCCCCATTAGGTCCCTAATCTAATCACATAAGCATATAAATAGAGAACCCATTGGCCATCGAGTTTTACTTTTACCCCTAAGGTTCGTGTCTGTCTAGTATGCATTGAAACTCTAAAAAATCAAGTCAACCTCAATTCTTCATCATGTTGTCGGTTGTGGAAAACATGAAAACTGTTCCGCAGATTCTTTGCTAACCCCACTTGCCTTGTTATCGCTCACCCAAAGGGATTGAACAGGATTTGGAGGTAATAATTCCACAGCTATTGAGGTGTGGAATTAATCCCCTCCACTCCCTTTCTCATGGGGATTAATCAAACAAGCCCTTATGATGTGATGTTGCATGACATAAATATGTATTTGCCATTTCAGAAAGCAGCTGAAAGAGGAGGCTATGGGGGTGAGAGATATGAAAAAATTGAATTCCAAAAGAAAGTTGGTGAGCATTACCATTCACTTCGTGATTCAACATGGAAGGTAATCAACCAGCATAGTACTTAATTTAAGTTGGATGTGCAAGTGCAGTGATCTGCCTGTCATTCATTTTCATTTTTCTGTATTCATGATCTATACCATGACTTGTAAGATTGTGTAGAAACCAGTAGAATGCAATAGTATCTCAAGAATTTGGTTGTTTCGTTAAAGTATGGTCATAATAATTAGTTCTATAGTCAACCAATTAGTAATAAATAAATCTGATTAACTTGTTGCATTGGTTGTGTCACGTAGGTTGTTGATGGCTCCCTTCCCATGGAAGTTGTGGAAGAACAGCTGAAGGAACTAGCCATGAGTTGCATTCTGGAATGCCAAAGCAAGCAACTTGCCAGTCTGGCCTGGTAGTGTATCGATAGCACCATCCCTTGGTGCCAATGCCACATCATTATCGATGGCCTGCTAGAGTTATGCTTTAAGGAGAGCTTGCTGATTTCTGTATTCTATGTGCACTTCTATAGAGTGATGTTTTGCGAGAACTTGTTCGCTGATGTTCTGATAGCCTTTTCGTAATGTGAATTATGTGAGGTTCTGCTGTTCTTGTAAGCTTCTCATATACTCTGTTTGCCAAATTTGAGTTCATAAAATGGTTTTGCAGTAACTAATGAGAAAAGTCGTTTTGAACCTGAAGAACACCTTGCAGGAACGTAAATGTCGCATATTAGCCAAAATTTTTGCTGTGTTGCTCAATCAATAAATCTTAAGCTGCAAAATATATTGTAGGCTTCAAGGAGACAAAGGTAAAAGATAAGTCTGTAATTCAGAAGACAGAAATTCACCACCAGGACGGTATGTTTCTGCTACTGATTACACGAGTACAGTTTGTGTCGATTTTAGCACAGTTAATACTCCCACAACCACACATTCACTAACTTTGGTCTTTTACACATAACTGTCGATCAAAGACTTCCTCATGTCATCAACAATCGCGGCAGGCTGCCCTTCTCTCAGCTTGAAGACGCTCTCAATGACCGATAGCTCAGTAGCCGTAGTGTCTGAGCCACAGAAAGCAGTCCAGTCATTCACTGTCATGCCCGCAGCAATGACCTCGCTGCCTCGGTTCACGGTTCCAGCAACAAGAGGGACTTGCAGGAGCGTGGACAGCTCATCAAGATCTTCAATGGATGTATGAGGATGGACCTGTTTCGCAATTGTTGTACAATAAGAAAAAGAACATTTGTAACAAACACAGATCGAATGGAACAGAAATGAAGTAGAAAAAACATACTAGGCCACCCCTGTTTGTAATCGCACAGTAGCTTCCCACAAGGATGTTTCCTGCAATTGTCTGCCGGAACACCTCAACCCCAAGCACATCTGCAATAAGTTCCTCAGTGGCCTGGAGAATTGAGCAGCAGGCATATTTAGTTCGAGACAATAGGGAAAAGCATTAAGTCAAGAAACATCACTAGAGAGATATACGAAGATAGGCTTACCTTGTCGAGGTCAGGGTGTGTAAGCGCGACATGGTCATTGCAAGCTACACAATTGCCAAGCGCAGATAGCCTTTCATCAATACGCTGAACAACCACTTGATCAGGCAAGCAGTTCCTCAGATGCTGAAGCTCTAGAACAATTCAAACACACAGGGAACATAGAATTACTACAAATTCATGGTGAAACTTTTGTCCATGACAAAATATCATAACACAGCATCATAAACCAATCAAGCTGCTAAGGAAAATCAATTCGACAACACAAGCATGGAATGTATATCCAACTGGCATGATTGATTGTATCTGTCTAGCAGATAGTCACAATATCCAGAAGGCCTTGGATATTACATGAAAACAAGTTCCAAATATACTACAACACTATCAAGCCATGTGCCTGTGCTCGTACAAAAGAAAAATAATAATGCGGCAGACAGTGTAAGTCCATAATTGCCTTAACAACTTTGCCCTCTGTGCAATACCCAAGTAACTGTAACTCTGATAATAATTATAGAGTAATTTCAATGATAATTATAGTACCTATAATCATCAGGTAGATAAAATTTTCTTTCAGTACATGTACACATTATTTAGCTTAGAAAAGATTTTCTGTTTTCCTATAAGTCCATAAAAACGGAGTGTGGCTAAAGAACATACACTGAAAAACTATATCCATGTGAAAAGTTACTAATTTATTGACACATATAGCCAACATGTGGATGACATCAATAGCACAGAGCTAGCAGAAACGATGTAGCCATGGCAGCAAAGATTTATAGGAGAAAAGATACAAAAATAGAGTACCTTGATCGGTGGTAGTGTGAGGCAAGAGAAGTCCATTCTTGTTTCCTGGACATCAAAGATTCAAATTGGTAAACGAAAAACAAGAAGGCAAGTGCATTAATCCACTTAGTATATCCAAGCTCAAGTACTAACCGACACAGAGACGACCAATTATTCTAGTACCACCTATGGAGGTCTTGACAACAGGAATAACATCTGCGAGCTCAGATTCAAAGGCACTGCAAAATAACAAATAATGCAGCAGTTATGAGTTAGGCATTCCCACGCTTCCACAAATAATTTCCCAACATCTTAAACTGACAAAATATGCACCTGTAGAAGTTCTCTGATCCTCCAATTGCAACAAGACAATAGGCATTTGTCAACTTGGAGAAAACACCAACTTCACAATTGTTCTCAAACTGAATACCTACAGATCGTGTATTCAAGAAAAAGCAGATTAGATACGGAAGATGTGTAAAAGGCATTTGAATCAAACATCACCCACCAGTTCAGAACCCAGTATGAGCAATGAAACCTAACCAACCAAATTAGAGGTGCGCTACATCACATGATTAAGTGTAGAAATTTCAGCATAGAACAACAAATGAGATGCTAAGAAAAAGATCTTTTACTAAAAGCTACCGTAACAAGCTACCACTTTTGTCCTCAAAAACATTACATTCTAAACACTGATCATTCAGAAAAATCTCAACAAACATTAAACCCACTTGACTAGCCCCGAAATCCATTCTGTGATGCTGCTTCAGTCACAAAACTACTCATCTAGGCATCTGGCCACAAGACTAATCACCCAACAGTACTAATCGCCCAATCCGTCGTTGCCAATCCCCAACGCTACAAAATATCTCATCGAAGTAACTAACAGAAATGAATATAGAGCTACCTAATCACAAAAACCACGAGCCGCAAAACCTCAAACATGCTGAAACTTACGGGTCGCCATGGTCGATTCCGCCTCGTCGCAGCCGCCGCTTCTCTTCTACTAATCAACACACACCTGCAGATCAAACACCGAAGATGATTTACCCCCCACCAAAAAAAAAGGAGAGAGATTACGGAGTAATCGGGTAGCATAGACGCATCCACTATTCGGTTCCACGCCGCTGCCAATTACCTGGAACGAAAAGGCGGCGAATCGGGAGGTGGAGGCGCGGCTAGGGTTTGGGGGTGCGCGCGACTTCCGAGGCCGAGACGGGGGGGAATGGTCTCTCTCTCGCGGCGGTATATGAGCCGCCACCGCTTGGGCGGAGACGGACGCGGCCGCGGGTGGGCTCGTGGGCCCACTTGAAAAGATACAGTGAATGGGCCGAATTGGATTGTGACCTATCGTGGGCCTCTCGTGACCATTAGATCGCACTTTGGAGGCCCAGATCCACTGCGGATGGATGGCCAGGCCATGCCGTGCGGCCCATTTTGCCACCACGCGATGCATCGACGAGGGAAAAAAAAAGTAAATTTTATAAAACCACATCAACGAGGAAAAAAAAAAGTAAATTTTATAAAACCACATCTGTTATGATCCAAGTTACACAAAATTATAAGGATTTTGGCAATGTGGCACATAATCATGTACTATCTACTATGGCATATGTCAAAATGGTTAACGGTACGGTTTTGTGAAACTTTAGGACTATAATATCCGATGTTACGTGTCACGTGTCAAATTTTTCGTGGTTTTATGCAATTTTGGACCCATAATACGTGGGATTATGAAATTTACTTAAATAAACTAGTTCTAGAACCTTCTAGAACGAAATCACCCGCTACATCTGTAGAGATTTTCTCGCTTGCAGCGTCTTCTCAGTGCTTGATTCCGTGAGAATTTAAGCTCGAAGGAGAAAGAAAACACCGATCGATCTGTTCGTGGGTCTTTCCAACCTAACGGAGGATTCGAGATTAGGAGTATTTTTAATGCCATGATTTGGTGAAACAGATGGAGGACGGAATGAGTGTGTAGGGAGAAATGGGCGGTTGGGCATCATCACAAGGTGCCCAGATTTCCTTCTTTTTCTTTTCGGATATGAAAGGGACCAGCTAGATTAGGTTCGTCTAAAATTAATCTGAGCAAAAAGGAGTTGTGATTCTAGTGGATTAGTTTATCGGAAATTTCTGTGTGGTTTTGCATTCCGATTATTATTCATTCAGTAGCTTGATCACTAGTTGGTCCCTGATAATGTTAATTCCAATTTTGTGGTGTCATAATCATATTATGGACTGACACTCTTTTTTTTTTTAGCAAACTTATGGTTGTGTGTCTTAAGCTGAAGATGTAATCCATTTTCATTATCTTAAAAATGGATTGACTCTCTAACTTGTCTGTCTCGGTTAATCTTGCAAGTTGCTAGTAGTCTACGGAATCATTCATCAAACTTATCTTCTGAATTTTGCACACTTTCTTGGGAAAAATATATGTGTGGTTTTCAGTAATTGAGGATGGATCTCTGAACCTGAAACTGAACTTTCGACAAACACGAGAAGCTATCTCTGTTGGAAAGATCAACTGATCAGAACTGAGAAGCATGAGCTGAATTAGTCCTTTCGGATTCAATCTTGATGACAAGCCTGTTTATTTGCAGAGTAAAAAAAAAGACAGACATTGTTGCCAGATTTCGCTATCACGGTTGGATGGATGAAATGTGCATCATGCCGTATGCCATTGCCAGGATAAGATAAGAACACCAAAACAAAGGCATCTGATAGGCAAAAAAAATAATAATAATAAAGGCTGCAATTGTTCTCTGCCTCCTGTTTAAATTCCTGCTGGGTTTCCAAGAAGGATGTGGCTCCAACGCAGCTATATTCCAGGTGAAAGCGATGATGAACCCATTAATTATATGATAGCTCTTTTAAATATTACTAGTGTGCATAGTTTTCATTCCAGATTCTAGAAGACGGAAATCCAATTTATGCATGATTTTTCTTGCCTGCTTCTTTTTTCACGAACGTGTAAAAGAATTGCATGTCAATATATTAGATTCTTTTTGCTTGCTTCATGTGCAAAGAATAAAACAGATGCTTGCGTCCCTATCAATTATCAATTGCAATCCGGTATACGATTTGGCACTTTTACCTACCTCTTTTCCAGCCTTTTGCACATATAATATATGTGATTAGTCACTAATGTCAGTGGTGTGACCTAAAAAAAGTGAATATTAAGGAAGGAACTACTATCAAATAAATAGAAAGGATGAGGGTTCGAACTTAGGTCGGCTAGCCCACCACCTTGTGAAGCTAGCCGAAAAACCCCTGAGCATTTCTCTGACCTTAAAAGGACGTTTATGGATTATTTAGCGGGTTGCATGGTGTTTACTTATTAATTTATTCCATCTGGTGAATTATTCTAGGCTTTTAGCTGCCGATACTTTGCCTGGTATGTGATTTATTGCCAACCCATTCATAGTATTGGAAGGACATAAACCACCAGTGGTTGAACATATGAAGCAAGATGAATGGTTGGTATTATAAGGGACAACTAAAATGATTTTGTGCACTACTGCAGTGAATTTCTTGGAGTGTTCAATCAATTCATTACTGATGACACCCACTAGTAGGGATTAAACATTGACCAGTCAAAAACCATAAGCATTCAGTATACCTGAGTCTGTATTCCAAGAATTACTAGTGTTTAATGAACTGTAATTATTTCCATTTCTGCTCATAGAGTTTAGATAAATGGTTCAAGCAAGTGACGGTGAATCTAGCCTGATAAACAATTCCAGAAGGGAGTAAAGCTGGTGATCTAATGGAAGAATATGGCACCTTAGCCTTTTATTACAGTGCATACTAATGTTCTTACAAAATAAAGAAGCTTCAGCAAAATCATCTTTGATTAGTGTTGAAATTAGTAGTAAAAACGTGTCACATGGATTGAACTAACTAAGCACAAAAAGAATCTACCATTTTGTGATCACTAGTACTACATTTCATGGAGCAGCTTTATTTTTAATCAAAATACAGAATCTTACAGAAGTGATTGTTGTGCTACAAATAAATCGTCAGTTCTCGCTTTAGTAGGGCTAAGACTACTAAAGGTCCACAGTGATAGATTGCAAAAACACGCACATATTCACAACCTTTCTTGAGCTTTCTTCTTCCATCAATCTCTAACAAGAGTACAAGACATATGCATTATTTCACTGGAAGTTAGTACTATGCCATCACAATCTTTGCAAAAGCAACTACGGCATAACTGTAAGAAATAATCATTACTATGTTAAGCTGCTTAGAAAACATTATGGTCCTTATATATAATACAGTATTATTAGCAGGTACTTGTTTGTATAAGAGCACAAGAAAGTTAGGAGTACCCAAAAAAAAAGAGAGAATAAAGGGTAAAGGGAGATTATAAGCAGGAGAACAAGTTGTGTATCATATTGTTTCTTGATGCATTTGTAATTTGTTCGTCTTTGCTCTCAGTGTACGAACGTTTCTCTGCTTCTCTTCCCAGTTCTTCAGGTGCTAATAATTGTTTTTAGCACCTAGAGTTATGTTTCTCATTTTGAAGTCAGTTATATTTTTAGCGAATTCCCTAGTTTGAACTTTAAGTTACAACCAAGTGATTTCGCATGATGCAAACGAGCATTTCTATCTGTGCTGTATATCTCTCCTTTTAATGCCTTTACACTTTACAGTGGGCGAATCCATTGAGAACTTCTTGATCCCGGGGGCTTTGCCTTTTTTTCCACAGTTTTTTTTTGGGCTCACATCTACGTCAGAAGAGACCAACTTGGATGGCTACAAGGCTATTCTTATCTGCACAGACGATTGAATCATTCAGGAAAATCCAACTGAGCAACAGCAAAGATGCGTGTACCATTTTATGGTTGTTATTTGTTAATGATCTTTCTTTTATACTGACACTATTTTAATCCACTTTTCTATTGTAGGTTGGTTGGTTCTTCGTAGTAGCTCACTACTTCTGGTTCAAAAGAGTAAAAGAAGCAGGACATGTTTGGTGGTGGTTGGCAATGCCTGATTGAAGAACACAAGATTCAGATCAAGCTTGCCTCCGAGTAGTTATCATCAGAAATTGGCAATGGATCTGTCAAAATTTCAAAATTATGGTACAATTGTACGATCTTAATTGAAGTGTGTGATTATGAGAAACGTTTGTTGGAAATTTGGTCATAATTCGGCATATTTTAATCCAAAATATTAAGACAATAAACATGACATTTGTAATATGAGTAGATCTAGTGACAGTGTTAGATGTATACAACTTGAGTATGCTTAATATGAAATAAGCTTCAACATTTACATAGTAATGCAATGCTGCCATTGCGAAGAGTATTAACAAAGAAACATCTAATAGAATCGGGAGAATGAAAGTATACCCCGAGAACACGTCCCACTGCTGGATTTTGAGGCAGTATTGCCTCCGTTGATGTCGTTCATCTTCTTGTTTCCAATCTCCATTGACATCTTGGTGAAGGCGCCGATGCAACAACAGTAGCCACGAAGAACAAGAGCAGTCGCGCTTGAAGCGCTATCCAAAAACTTGATTGCCCGCCTATCCGTGCAAGTTCTCAAGTGGACAGAGTTCCGGAGGCACCTGCTCGTCCCTTACACCTGCGCGCGCAGGTGAACAGAACCGGGGAAGGATTCTGCAGCTTAGGATCAGAGGAGGAGGAACTCGAAGTGCAAGAGTCGTTAAAGAACTTCTTCAGTCCTTTCTGGTCGCTGCGGAGTATATATATGCGAGCGCGAGAGTAACGTTCGGAGTCATCAACCGCGGTGTTTAATTTCGTAACTGACGCGCTCGTTAATATGGAATCAATTCACGGCGTTTAATTCCGTAACCGACGGAATCAATTCACGACGTTTAATTCCGTAACCGTCTGTTACAAAACAATCGTTCATTGATACGAAATCAATTCTCCGTGTTTATTACCGTCCGTTACAAAACAAGAGAGCGCTCGTTAATACGGAATCAATTCACGGCGTTTAATTCCGTAACCGACGAAATCAATTCACGACGTTTAATTCCGTAACCGTCCGTTACAAAACAATCGTTCATTGATACGAAATCAATTCTCCGTGTTTATTACCGTCCGTTACAAAACAAGAGGGCGCAACAGCTGTCTGCCTCGCCTCGCGCCCGCCTGGTTATCCGCGCACCATCTCAACCAGTCAACAGAGACTCTCCACTAGCTCCGTATTTAAGTTGAGACCTCTTCACTTAGATTTCCAATGTGGTATTATTACCCATAGCACTTAATGTGGGCCAATGGAATTTATTAGTATTTAATTGGGCCTAGCCCATTAATCTAACACAGAGGTCTTCCGGTTAGCTCTACAAAATGGTAGGCTAGACGATCTGGATTTGAAGCATCACCCCTTCTAATTATTCGATATTAGGTTCTTCCTAATATTCGCGTTTTTTAAGTGTGTGATTCTACAATTCTTTGTACGAAGAATTTACGGTTTTTATGTATATAATTATATAATTGTCATCCTACTTAGAACTTTCGATTTAGAATCGTGATTTTAACGACCTTGCTCATGAGAACTAATAAGAAACATATGAGATCGATCTGTGGCCTCTGCATCAACCATAAGATCATAAGCAGAGTACACGCGCAGCTGCTGCAAATCATTGGAGATTGCAAGAACAGAGAGCCGTGGGCTCAGTCTGTCAAGCTCGTACGCTGGTTTTGTCATGATTTCTTCTTCCTTTTTCTTTTCTGAAGCAATTCTGTTCTGTTCTGTTTTCTGAACCAAACCTTTTGGATGAATTCCAAATGCTGCAGCCTGAATCTGGTGGCCTTATCTCTGCTCCTACTTGCCAAACTTTGGCGTCAGCATTTTGCTAAATTATTATATCTGCAACCTGCAAAACGGAATATGATATGATACAATATACATGCAGATTTTTCTGGAAATAATTTAGCCTGCTACTGTACATGAGTATATCCATTGTACATGTACATGTACATGAGTAGTATATCCATTATACAGTCTAAATCCCTATAAAATTACTTCGTCCAGTTTTTAATACACGGCAGCGTCGTTGAATTTTGATACATGTTCCACCATTCATCTTTTTTATTTTTTTTTTGCAAATATATAAAAATGTTTAAGTGCATTTAATAATAAACCAAGTAGAAAAAAGCCAATAATTACATTTTTTTTTCTGTACGATGAATAATATCCAAAAACAAACTGCCCCATCAGTTATTTGAAAGAAAAAAAAAACTAACAGTGCTCGTTTTCCATCTGAAAGAAAACTGAGCAGGTAACTATTGTATTAGTGTCAATCTAATCACAAACTTAGATGTTTATGACCCACAAACATAACACTAGTGCTAAGGATTTAAACTCCAAAACCTGTAGTAGTTTATAATAATTTTTATTACTGAAAATGTAGTTTTACGATACTTCACCTTAAATATGTTCTATGATAAATCTAGTGCTAAATCTATAGTTTTATAAAACATCATCTTAAATTTATATTTTTTTTATAATTTAACTAAAGTATCCGTAATTTCGTGTTTTTTTTTTTGCATGCAACCATGTATCACGGTCAATCAATGCAGTAGTATGTTGTGCGCAGCTATCTTGCGGCTGCACCGAGTCCACGAAGCGGCGTTGGCATCGCGGTGGGGCCCACCTGTCAGCCACAGCCCCGACGAGACGAGAGACCTCTCCTCCGTCTCGCTCTCCTCCTCTCTCGATTGCTTTTCTGCAGTTCGACTGTTCTACTCCTCATCGACTGGGTGGTGGTGCGCGATGCGCTTTAAAAGGCGTCGCCTTTGCCTCCCTCCGCCTTCCCCTCGCTGCAATCTCATCGTCCACTCCCCCGTTTCCATCCCCCCGAATCTTCTTCTTCTCTTCTTGCGGTGACTGAGAAGAAGAAAAAAAAAAGAAAGAGGAGAAAAATTGCTACGAGATTCCTTCTTCGTCGCCGCCGCTGCTGCTGCGTTATCCCCAAGGTGAGAGCTTTTTGTGCTTTGAGCCTTTGGATGGTGTGGTTTGGTGGGGGCGCTGATGGTTGGGGACCTGGGTGGTGGTGTTTGCCCGTGCACAATTCGTTCCCTTCTTCTTCTTTTTTTTTTTGTTGTTGGATGCTCGTGTAGGCTGTGGTTTCTTTGCTTGCTGACTTACAGTGGATTTTTGGTGGGGTTTGGGGGTGCGATTCTGAGGTGATCGGCCTCAAAGGTGGTCGCTTTGGCTGGATTGGTTCTTGGGTTGAGTGAATTTCCTCTTTGATTTTGCTGCAGTTGGTGTGTGTTCATGCCTTGCCTGGTGTTTGATTGGAGAATTGGGGTTTGAGGATTTGTGCGGTCCTCTGCGCTGTTAAGTTTTCGGTAGAGACGTGGAGTTGACTATTAAGAGCATAACATCCTTCAAGAAAGGATTCTTTGCGTGCATTTTCTATAGGTGCAGATCGATTTCAGGAAGTTTCAGTCGATTCGTATAGGATAGGTGATGGTTATTTAGTGAATTTATGTTCTTTGTGAGTTTGAGTTTGAGTTGGTTGTGGCAAAGTTAGATGGCAAGTACCCACCACAAGTCTACAAGTACCTGCTTGTTAGTTTCTTCTGGGTAGGAGCTTCGCTGTTTAGAACAATTTTTGTGCTCTTGTTCTTGTGGTCACTGGTCAGGCTTGGTTTTGCAGAGACAAAAATCACATATGTGATGTAGCCTTCAACCTTGTACTGTTTAGTGTTGAATTTGGATAAGGTTGTCTTCGGTTGAACCAAAGCATTAGGTTACCTGTCCTACTTGTTCTCGCCTTCTGTGAGACTATATTATTTCTTGAGTTGTTCACTTCTTAATAAAATCTTTAGGACAATGATTGCTTTCTTTTTTTTGGTTGAAAGGAAGAACAATGATTGCTTCATCAGTTCTGGAGATTGTGGTTCTTAATGTCGTCCTTGTGCAGATAAAAAAAATCATCTGGTTCTTGTTCACATTTACTTAGGGGTCATACATTTTTTACTTTTACAGTGTTACAGCCTTTTGTGTGCCCTGCTGTTAACCTCCCTGCAACCTGCATGTTGTATGCTCAGGAGCCTCATTGAGGCATATGAAACTGCCCGCTATAATTTCTTCTTGCCTGATGCTTAGGATTTTAGCAAGTTCATAATGATGCAGTGATGGTCGTGACATCCTGCTTTTTGTCTGGTGTAGTTTATGCCTTGCTAATACTTATCCATTTATTGATCTTTGTTCTGTTCAGATTTTTGGGATAGTGTTTTCTGTTCTCTCTCATAACTCATAAGGGTAAATGGGTTCAGAAGGACCTTCAGTTGTTACTGTCCATGTTACCGGATTTAAGAAGTTCCATGGGGTTGCTGAGAACCCAACTGAGAAAATTGTGGGCAATCTTAAATCATTCGTAGAAAAGAAAGGATTGCCGAAAAACCTTGTACTTGGAAGCTGCACAGTGCTTGAAACTGCAGGGCAGGGGGCACTTGGCACATTATATAAGGTTTTGGAATCTGCCATTGCAGAAAGAGAGAATGGGTCATCGGCTCAGGGGCAAGTAATTTGGGTTGGTATCCACCTTCCTTGATTCCATATTACATAATGATGTAATGCAGTCAGCACCTTGCGTATTGCAATGCTGTCCTATCAGAAAAAGAATAAGGAAGTTTCTATTTGCCTTCAATGCCACTCGAATAGTCAAACTAATTATCATTTGAAACTTGTTCAGATCCATTTTGGAGTTAATAGTGGTGCAACAAGGTTTGCTCTTGAGAATCAGGCTGTTAACGAAGCCACCTTCCGTTGTCCAGATGAGCTAGGGTGGAAACCTCAGGTTGTGATTTTGTCCAATTACTTATCTTTGTCTATATATCTTGACATTGTGTTTACCGGTTTGATTGTTCCGTGCAGAGGGTTCCTATTGTACCATCGGATGGAGCCATCTCACGGACAAGAGAGGTACAAGTTAAAAAAAGTTTGTCTGGAAATTAATGGATGTTTGTTGAAAGTACAGCTACGAACAGCAGAGTTACATATTATCTTTTCATAGTTCACTAGTCCTTTCCCCCCACATAATTCTAATGGCCATGACCCCACAAGACACCTTCCCATTGAATGAAAAAAAGAAGTCCAAACTGCCAAATAGAACACCATAGGTCTGCTGCGATCACTTTCTTCACTGTTACGTTACCTACGCGAGCTTGATTTTCAGAAGTTCTATTGAACATCTCTTTTCTTCCTATTTCTTTCAATACGAACAAATCAGTTAGGAATATATTCAAAAGGACAATGGTAATCTGTGATTGCCTGATTACAGCACGATCTTCTCTACAAAATAATATCACAAATGCCCCCTATTATTTTCCCCACATGTTCAGAATACCCATATTTTGTGTTTAAAACTTATCATAATGGAATGTTTAAAACCTACCATAATGGACTTATGTGGTTTGAATATGTTGCCTGTATGATAACAAACAAAGATAGTTCATATGCGCATTATTGAATGAATAAAATGTCAATCATCAGATATTTCAAGTTTTGGATTGAGAGTACTGTTGATCTTGAGACTAATCACATTTATCTGAACTTTTCATGAACAACCAGACTACGCTTCCGGTAAATGAGTTGACCAAGTCACTCCGGAAGACAGGCTACGATGTAATGCCATCAGACGATGCTGGTCGGTTTGTATGCAACTATGTGTATTATCATTCTCTTCGGTTCGCAGAGCAACACGGCATCAAATCTCTGTTTGTACATGTGCCCCTGTTCTTGACGATCGATGAGGAGGTCCAGATGCATTTTGTTGCTTCCCTTCTTGAAGCTCTTGCTGTCTTGAACTAGGGAAAAAGAAATAACAATTCAATATTGGAAGCAGGCTGAATAAAACTGTATTGTCATCGATGATATTGGTCTTGCTCCAAAGGGTGTATTTATGAGGAAATTGGCTGCTTAGAGTGTGTTCTTGGTCAGATGCCACTTGTATTCCACTACATCACTTGTTCTAAACATGCCTGAAAACAAACTTGGTTTTCAATAAAAATCGACAGATCGTCGAAATGGATGCATTGCATCCAGTACGGTTGTTGATGTTGCTTTTGCATTTCTGATGCCAGTGCGTTGGTGATTTGCCAGTAAACAAAACAACACCCGTCCTCGTCAGAGTTCAGATATATCTGTCATCCTTTCTTCCCTCTTGCTTTGATAGAAACAGGAACTCCATTTTGCATTTTCGCTCCAGCTTTCACCCGTTTTGTTTGAGTCGTGTGATGTTAACTGAATTTCTAAAAGAAATCAAATCACTTGCCTTTGGTCAGAGAAAGAAGCGATGCCCTGTGCCTCCTTGAGTCGAAGTTCAGAGTTCATCAGATAACAGAAATTCAGAATCTCCAGAACATTTTACAGCGTTCGACGCTCCCTGCCTGCAACTTGGCAAGCTGCATGCCGAAAACTGCAGTGCTGCAAATCTGAAGTGAATGGTGATTGCAATCAGAATCTAGGTAGGCCGTCGGTGGCCTTGTGATTTGGGCCATATGGGCCAGTTTCAGTCGCAGTCCCAGATGTTCCTGGGGCCTGATTACATGGCTGGTAAACCTGCTAGGCTGCTAGCAGCGATGAAAGAATTCATGCCGTTGTTGGATGTTCGCAAGGTGCCAGATAAGCAGCACTTCAGTAGCTAGCTAGGGATAGATCGCCATGGCCGGAGCTAAGCTTGCCGCTACAGTGGCCGCATGCGCCTTGCTCCTCCTAGCCACCGCGGCGGCGTGCCATGGCCTCGAGGTCGGCGCCACTACCGGCGTTCGTGCCCCAAGGCGGAGGCCCTCGTCAGGGCCGAGGTGAAGAAGGCCGTCGTCAAGAACGCCGGCGCCGGCGCCGGCCTCATCCGCATGCTCTTCCACGACTGCTTCGTCGAGGTAATTAAGCACATCGATCCACCAATGGCGACGCACGGCGAGGTGCGTGCTCGCCGGCTAATTGATTAGCGTGCGCCCCGTGGCGTGCAGGGGTGCGACGCGTCCGTGCTGCTCGACCCGACGCCGGCGAACCCGCGGCCGGAGAAGCTCGGCCCGCCGCCAAGGGCCTCGCCGCCGCCGACGTGGTCGTGCTCTCCGGCGCGCACACTTCATCGGCCGCTCCCACTGCTCCTCCTTCGCGCCGGGCCGCCTCGCCTCGGCCTCGCCGCCGTCCGACATGGCCGTGGCGCTGGCGAACCTCCTGCGGAGGCGGTGCCCGGCGACGGCGAGCCCCGCCGCCGGCGACGACCCGACGGTGGCGCAGGACGTGGTCACCCCGCGCGCGCTCGACAACCAGTTCGATCTACAAGAACGTGCTCGCGCGCCGCGTTCTGTTCGCGTCGGACGCCGCGCTGCTGTCGTCCCCGGCGACGGCGAGGATGGTGCGCGCCAACGCGCGGCTCCCGGCGTCGTGGGAGAAGAAGTTCGCGAGGGCGATGGTGAGGATGGCGAGCATCGAGCTCAAGGCCGCCCACCGCGGCGAGATCAGGAAGAACTGCAGGGTCGTCAACTAGCGAGCTACTGATTGAGCTAAGCTAGTGGCCGCCATGGATGATCTGACGTTTGGTCTCGTTCCAATCCATCTTTCATTTTTTATTTCGATTGCGACGATCTGAAGAACAATTTGTGCCACGATCTGAAGAACAATTTGAGAGTGAAGCGAGTGATCTACTGTTGGGTTGGTGGCTTGCTTTGGTTCTGTTCTTGCAGGGGAGAAGTGTTTATTTGTTGATTAATTTTGTCAAATTTGGTTTCATTTGCTGGCGTTTACTGTCATCTCGGATGAAAATGTACCAAATCCTCTTTGGTATTCTATTTGCATGCAACATTTGGGAAAGTCAATTTACAACTCCGGTGCACATGTACTCATCTCTTGCATGTCATATCCAAATTGTTATGTACTAATTTTTTTATAAAAAAAAAGAGTATAACAACAGAATAGATTACAATGTTATACTACAATATGTCGGATTACTGTAACATTTTAGCAGTAACAACAAATATGAGTAACAATACAGTCTTCTGGTATAAATCAATAAATTAAATCATGTACCAATGTATAAATTCAGCTCAATTTAAGTTCGTAATTGAATGGTTTTTTTTTCAGTCATGTATTAAACATATGGCTTGATATATGCAATTGTATTAATTAGCTGACGACCCTGCAGTTCTTCCTGATCTCGCCGCCGGCGCCGGACTTGACCTCGACGGCGGCCATCCTCACCATCGCCGCCCTGAACTTCCCCTCCCACAGCCCCGGGATGATCGCGTTCGCCAGCACCGCCACCTTCGTCTCCAGCGACGTCAGCAGCGCCGCGTCCGACGTGAACAGCGCGCTGCCGTTGAGCACGTTGGTGTAGTACTGCCTGTCGAGCACGTCGGGCGTCACGGCGTCCTGCATCACCGTGGGGTCGCCGCCGCCGCCGCTGCTCGCGTTCGCGCTGCACTGCTGCGTCAGGGAGGCGGCGAGGGCCGGGTTGATGTCGGAGCCCGACGACGACGACGAGTTGAGGCGGTCGGAGAAGGAGGAGCAGTGTGACCTGCCGACGGAGTGCGCGCCGGAGAGCACGACGAGGTCGCCGACGCCGAGCCCCTTGGCGGCGAAGCTGGCGGTGAGGGCGCTGAGGTTGGAGGTCGGCGGCGGGAGGATGCCGAGCGCCTCGCTGGCGAGCGACACGCGCCCGTCGAGCCGCCCCGCGGGCATGGCGAAGTCGACCCCGCTGCCGCTGAGGAGCACGGTGGCGTCGCGCGCGGCGAAGGCGACGACGTCGGCGCAGGAGACGTCGCCCGGGCACGCCGCCTCCAGCGCCGCCTTGGCCTCGTCGATCACCTCGAATCCCCGCAGCGTCAGGTTCGGCGGCGCCAGCTTCTCGGGCTGCGTGTTCGCCGCCGTCGCGTCGAGGAGGACGGAGCCATCACACCCCTGGACGAAGCAGTCGTGGAAGAGCAAGCGGATGAGCCCCGCTCCGACGCCGGCGTCCTGCGCCACCGCGTTCTTGACGACGCCCCTCACGATCTCCTCGGCGTTGGGGCAGACGCTGTCGTAGTAGCCGACGGCGAGCCCGCCGCCGCTCGAACTCGGGCTCGGGCTTGGGCTTGGGCTTGGGCCGTACCCTCCTTGGCCCATGACATGGCCCAGCAAAGCTAGCACAGTGATCACAGCAGCAAGCAGCTTAGTCGCCATGGCTGATGAATCGATCGAGCAAAAATGCAGAAGCAGCTACGAGTACTGAACTGAAGTTGTGTGTGCTTTTTTGCTTCAGTTGCTTGGGAAGCTTGTGTATTTATAGTGCGAGGAGAACGTACGGTGGTTAGAAGATTTTGTATGGTTAGTTCGTTGGTTGGATGCGTGGTAATGTAGGATTAGCTTAAGCTAAGCCAGCATGAACGGTAACATGGGAGCCAATAATTCAGAGGTTGACTTGCGACTTTTGCTTTTCCAGTGATTATGCAATCTGTCCGGGGTTTAATTAACAACGCGTTAACATATTATTGGACTGATGAAATTATATATGGGAGTTCAATTTGAGGTGTTTGTAGCGAATGTTGCTTGGATAAGTCTGCATGTGTGTCTCCGGAAATTCAGAGTTTCAGTGGGCGAACCCTCTGATAAACTGAACTTGAGAGTTTCAGAGTTGGAGATTCGCTGGCAATAATCACATCCGTAGAGTAGGGAGAGCAACGCGTCATTCAACATGGCCACCGGCAGGATGCATGATTTGTTTACAAAATGGTGATTGCCTAATATAATGCATGTACTCCGTGATTTATGCAGAGCGGTGAGTTTAATCAAATTGAACAGTATTAAATTTCTTGCTTAACATTTTTGCTTCAGACAGCGGCAAAGCTCCCTCTGCTGGTTTCAGGAAAGGTCTCTCACCTTGTGAACAACAGCGACCGGGGAAGACATTAACTTGTGATTACAAACCGTGTCATTGCTGATTAGCCATGAACTCCAGGCAAAATGCAGAAGAGAAGAACAAAAGTCAGCTCTGACAATGCCAAGTGCCAACTAGGTTTTCTTCAGCCGAAATGAGGTTTCCTCACCAAGAAGTCAAGAACATGCATCCTCTAAAGTATCTACTCCAGATGAATTGGGCTAAGATACATTTCAATCATTATACGTGCTTAGCTGTTTGTACCGCACCGACTTAACTGAAACTGAAACTGATCATCCCCTTGGCAACAGCTAATAATCTCAACCGCTTGATGAAGCCGGTGTGGCGGTGTCGATTCAGTAACCACATGAATGAAATGTTTAATATTCAGAGTTTCTCATTATTTATACAGAGATTTGGTACAATAAAATTTACTTTCCAATGCCCAAGAGGCCAAGAAACTGCATACCATCCACAACTCTAACCAACGTTTCCATTGGGTTGTGTTGTCGTGCAGAAAACTCCCTACCAGACAGTCTTGTTGCTTGCAAACAAACTATTGAGTGGAAGTTCATTTTAATTAGTCCATGTATATTACCAAAAAAAAATGTTTGACATATCCTAAACCACATTTTTGCCAAGTGCAACTGTGCAAGTCATGTTTAGTTCTTAGCTTACCGGAACAGAGTTCTTTGACACTACTGTTCTTGCTCTCAGTAATACGATGATAATGATACAGATTGCCAAGTTGATCTCCATCCGATGTCGTTTGAAATGTAGATTTGAGATTTTGTTAAAATTTGTTTTGAATTTTGTAACGAATATTTGGACATCTAAACGATATTGTTAACTACAAAGTTGTATATCTCCTTGAGCTCTACGATTTTGATATAAAGTTTGATTTCATCCGACTTTATATGGTGTATATTTTAAATTACAAAATCATAGAGTTAACAAGCTATATTGGAAATTTTATATTTAGGCCCCTCAACATCTTTTGGAGGGTTTTTTTTTTAAAAAAAAAGGAGGATGTGGAATGTATAGATTTGTAAATTTTTGAAACCAAAAATTACTTTTTAATTCTTTTAATAAAAATGTAAAAATAAAAAAAAAACTCCAGCCTAGAGGAATGGGCCATAAACCCATCAGCAAGCCCAATACATTTGGGCCTGTTGCCCAAGAAAGAACTCATAAGCCTAGAAATATCTGAAAGGAAAAGGTACACCTAAGGTCCCTCAACTTGTCATCGAGTTACAAAATCGTCCCCCAACCGCAAAACCAGATATCCAGTGTCCCTTAACTAATTAAAACCGGTTTACTTCGATGGTTTTGACCCCGGTTTTGGTCTACGTGGCTGCTGAATCAGCGTGAGACCCACGTGGGCCCCACATGTCAGGCTGCCACGTCGTGAGTGTCTCTCTTTCCCTCTCCTCTCCCTTCCCCCTCCACTCTCTCTCTGCCTGTCTGGGGCTAGGCGGGCCGGCAGGCGGTTGGGAGGAGGTCGTCGGGGCGAGGAGCTCCGACGGCCGGCCGGCGATGCGGGAGAAGGTGAGGGAGGCGACGGCTGCGTTGTCCCACCACCATGAGAACGCCGGCATCTGGAGGCGGAGGCCGGCGCGCTCCACCATGCGAACGAGCTCGTCGTAGGCCTCCCAGTCGTATCACTGGGGACCCTCCCGCTCCACCACCCCCTCCACGCCGGCACTCCACAGCGCCAGCAGGCTCGCCACCATCGCTCGCGCCCTCACCCCCCCCCCCCCCCCGCTTCTCCTCGGTGATTGCAGCGGCTGAGGTCGACTCCCCTGCCTCGCCGTGCTCTTCCTCGGCGAGTACGTGCCTGACCACACGCTCGACGCAGTCCACGTCGTAGAGCGTCTTCATGCCGCCGGAGTAGCTCGGGATGAGCACGTCCTCCAGCGTGGCGTGCTCCAGCTGCGTCGCGGCCTTCTGCCCGAGCGCCGCGTCCAACGCGAGCAGGATGTGCGCCGTCCACAGCTGCGCGAACAGGAACTTGGCGGTGACGACGCGCCCCGAGCACTTGTCGGTGGGGACGCTGGTGACCACCGCCTCCAGGAGGTCCCTCTGCTCCACCTCTGACGACGCCGGCGCCGACGCAAGCCGCCGCATCGACCTCGATAGGGCGGTGATGGTGCCCCTGGCGTACGACACGAGACAACTCTCCCTAGCCTCCGTCCTCACATCGGCGCGCGCCGCCATGGCAGCCATTACCCTTCTGTACATGTCCAGCCCGAGGACGGCGAGGTCGTCGAACCAGGAGCGCGACGCGGCCGACGAGCGCGCGGTGGTGGCAAAGGGACTTGTTAAGTGATCCATGTTTTGTTCTTCATTTAAATTCACTCTTACGGCAGTGGTACCGAGAAATGGCAGTCATCCTCTCTTCCGTTTCTCCTGTCGTTCTCGTGCTTCAGAAACCAACAGCGTTTGCCAGTAAGGATGTGTTTTTATGCGTACGAATTTATCAGTTTGTGTATAGCTTCAGACTTGCAGAGGCCTCTGTCTCTCTGTGTCTGTGTTGCTTCGTATTTGTCGACTTTCATCACCCGCTTGTAAATATGCTGATGGCCTCCACGCAGCGACTGACAATGCCGAGCTCCTCGGCGTGCGGCAGCAGCTCCTCGCGGGACTTGAGCGCCTTGGTGGCCTCGCAGGAGTGCCGGAGCACTGCCTGCTCCAGGTAGGCCTCCACGCGCGCGGTCAGGTTGTCCTCGGCGTGCTCCTCCGTCATCTCCAGGTACTCCGCCGCGCACCGCAGCGGCGCGACGTTCCAGGCAGTGAGCTCGACGCGGACGTAGACGAGAGCGTCGTCCTTGACGGGCTCCCACTCCAGCGACGAGTCGGTGGCGCGGCCGCCGGGGGGCTGCGCCTGCAGCACCTTGCGGCCCGTTATCCCGAGCAGGAAGGGTTCGTTGGAGGCGGAGAGGTAGCGGCCATAGCAGCTGCGCCGCCGCGCCGCTGCCGCATCGCCGGCCGGCCGTCGGAGCTCCTCGCCCCGGCGACCTCCTCCTCACCGCCGGCCGGCCTGCCCCGAGAGGAGTGAGAGAGAGAGAGTGGAGGAGGAAGACAGAGGAGGGGGAAAGAGAAACACTCATGATGTGGCAGTCTGACATGTGGGGCCTACGCTGACTCAGCCGCCACGTAAGCTAAAACCGGGTCAAAACCACTAATGACCTATTGTGACCGGTTTTGCTTGGTTAAGAGACGGTTTTGTGTCAAAACCACTAATGACCTATTGTGACCGGTTTTGCTTGGTTAAGAGACGATTTTGTGGTTGGGAGACGATTTTGTAACTCGATGACAAGTTGTGGGACCTTCGGTGTACTTTTTCCTATCTGAAATCAAACTCCTTTTTTTTTTCTGAAATGGGCCAAATCAAATTGTTTACGTTTTAAAAATCGACTTTGCGAATTTCGATGGTCAAAATTTGGTCATCGATTTGTTTCAATCGTTAACCATGTTTCCATCTCATTTATTCGCTCATTTTAAATACCCGAGCTTTCTCTCTGAACGCATTGACTATTCCACACCGATGGAGACGGAGTTGCACCTCGCCGCCGGCTACTGCGCCGCCACGGGCGTCTACCGGAGCGGCCACCCTCCGCAGTTCGCCGCCGCCGCCGCGCTCTCCTTCCCGGAGTACATCCTCCCGCACATGCTCCTCCCCGGCCGCCGAGCCCGCCCGGCCTTCGTCGACGCCTCCACCGGCGCCGCGCTCTCCTTCGCCGGCCTCCGCGCGCTCTCGCTCCGCGTCGCGCGCGCGCTCGCCGCCGCCGGCCTCCGCCGCGGCCGCGTCGCGCTCCTCCTGTCGCCGAACTCGCTCCACTTCCCCGCGCTCTCGCTCGCCGTGCTCTCCCTAGGCGCCGTGCTCTCCGCCGCCAACCCGCTCCTCACGCCCGACGAGCTCGCTCGGCAAGCCGACGACGCGAAGCCTTTCCTCGCGCTCGTCACCGGCGAACTCGCCCCCAAGCTCCGCTCCATCGCGCCCGACGTCAAACTTGTCCTCGTCGAGCAGCTCCTCGCCGACGTCGCCGCAGAGGTCGACGACGACGAGACATTGGATCTGCCGGCGGCGAACATTGGCCGCGACGACGCGGCGCTGCTGTTCTACTCGTCGGGGACGACGGGGAGGAGCAAGGGCGTGGTGAGCACGCACGGCAACGCGATCGCCATGGCCGCGTCGCTGGAGCGCGCGTGGGGTGGCGGCGGCGGCGGCGGCGAGAAGCCGCAGCAGTACGACGACCACGACGAGGCGTACGGCTGCGTGCTGCCCATGTTCCACATGTTCGGCTTCTCGTCGTTCGTGATGGGGACGGCGGCGCTGGGCGCCACGGCGGTGGTGGTCCCCGGCAGGTTCTCGGTGGAGAAGACGATGGCGGCGGTGGAGGAGTACGGGGTGACGAGGCTTCTGGTCGTGCCGCCGATGGTCGTGAAGATGGTCGCGGCGGCGGCCGGCGACGGCGAGCCGTCGCGGCGTCGTCTCCGGCTGCGGCAGGTGGTGTCGTCCGGCGCGCCGTTGCAGCGCGAGCACATGGCGCGCTTCCGCAGCTGCTTCCCGGCGGTCAACCTCGGCCAGGTTCGTATCCTACCTGGCTATTTGCTACAGTTGCTTCCCTAATTAATCAACGGCTAATGACTACACTTAATTCTCTGCAAAAATAAAGTAAACTTAATTTGTGTGATTTATTTTACTTAGGCTGTGTTTAGTACACGCTAAAATTGAAAGTTTGAAGAAATTTAAATGATGTGACGGAAAAGTTGAAAGTTTATATGTAGGAAAGTTCAGTGTGACGGAAAAGTATAAGTTTGAAAAAAAAAATTGAAATCTAAAACATGTCTTAATTATAATTATTATAGTTTATGTTCGTCACTGCATAAATTCATCTATACAGTTGACCTTTGATGTTTTATAATATGCAAATTGCATAAAATCTAGTCATTCCTGAACTTTTTTTAAAACATTTTTTTTTGTGTCGATCGAATCAAAACCTTCATTGATCCCTTTTGTGACAAATGCATGGAAGACTCAACAGAGATTCCACTTTGATGCGTGGGAACTAATTAATATCAATACTGTCTCGTTCTTTGAAAATAAATAAATAACTAATTAGCTTCTCATCTCTGATGCGTCTTGTACGATGTATGGTTGTATTTGCCATGTTTACGTATTATCTTATTTTTTGAGAGAGAAAAGTGTGATTCTCTTCTGTATGCTCATCGCATTATATATATTATTTGATCTATTTTTAATAATAGAAATTGATTACATCTCTAGCTTATGTTATAAGACACACACGGTCATAAATTTGTTAATAAAAAGATGAAGGTGAAGATAAAAATAAATCAAAATGAGAAATTAAGGTGATACGATAAATCCAAACTCTCATTTATTATTGACTAGCGTTAAACCATATAGATTTATTAGCTAGCAATTCTAATGAAACTATGCCACCTATAGTGAAATAAAAGATCTTTGGCTATAAATTATTTGATCTATATCATTGACATAATATTTACACATTAATTGATGGAAACGATAAATCGCCACTAGCTTGTGAAACACTCGGTAATCGATGGATTCGATCTTCTGATACCTGACATTATGTTAGTTACTTTTTGAGTTTGAAAGGAACCGCCCTTAATTAATTATTCTCTCTCGGTTGTGAGAAGATATATGAAAGAACTAGTTTTAATTTGCATTAATTCTCGGTCATACGTACTGCAACATTGACTTGGTCTAATTCTGCAACTACTTATTGGTATGAGATTTACTACTAGCAAATATAAGTAAATCTTATAGCATACTGTTATAAGCTCAATTATGATATTTTGTAAATTTATTCTGAAAAAAAATGATGGCCGGAATTTTTATTAGATCGATTTTTTATCTAAAAGATAAATATTTATGACCAAAGGATGAAAGGATTATATGATTGCATTAAAGCTAGCTAATTAATTTCCCCGTCATCTCAGGGCTGTGATGGCTGTCTAATTACCCTTTCCTTTTGGTGACACAATGTCACTTCGTCCGGTTATCTAATTTCAGCGATGCACTAATTAGTGAGATGCAGTACATTACTATTACGGTACTACGTACTACCTCAGTCCTAAAATATAATTATGAGAGGCAAAATCACTTGTATGTGCAATTAATACCTGTTCTAAATCAACCGTGACATGTACGCTCGCGTGACACAATTAATATGTACACTAAGAGCAAGTTCTAAGATTAACTTTAATTTTATCTACATTATTTACTCATTAATTAATTTGAAAGTAGTACATACAACAAATTATCTGTGAAATATTTAACCCCGATATACCATAATAATCTTATTTTATTTGTTTTCAATTCATTGGTCTTTTACTCTTATCTCTCTAATCTTACTCTCATCGATCTCTCTAAGAGTTTGTGTAAAGGTTACATATATGTGAGGGGTGGCTTCTCTCCTCCATCTCATCATCACGTGATTCTACTATATCTTAAGACAAAATATTAGAGTCCTACATTACTTGATCTAATGCACTTTGAATCAATAAATGTACCCATGTACATATGTACTGGAGTAGCTAGCTAGTACTCTAGAAAAAACAGGTCGGTACAATTCAGCAAAATACTCGTACAAGCTGAAAATTGTACTCCCCCGTCTCAAAATAAGTGCAGTTTTAGCACTATTCATGTCTAACGTTTGATCGTTCGTCTTATTTGAAAATTTTTTATGATTACTACTTTTATTGTTATTAGATGATAAAACATGAATAGCATTTTATGTGTGACTAATTTTTTTATATATATTTTATAAAATTTTCAAATAAAACAGATGATCAAAACGATGAACACGAATATTTATGGCTGCACTTATTTTGGAACAGAGGTAGCAGCAAGAACTTGCACGGATTAATTCACACCCTCTAAGTACAGCGCCGCATGTACAGTGAGAGAAAAGGGCAGAGCACTGTGGCAGGCGTACTGTGTAGCACTGTAGCGAAAGTGTGATTAAAATCATTTTTTGTACTATAGGTTATCGCTGTAGTACCTAGGTCTAGAGCCGTCCATCTCGAAATGGATGGCTGATATTCACCCAATGTCACCGTACTGTTCAGTCCTTACCATTACTGCTTGATGTCACCGTACTGTTCATTCCTTACCCAATGTTAGACGTATTTTCAGATGACGAACGTGACATCATGTTAACTAAATACCACTCAAAATTAATAGATTATTAATTGGGCGGCACTGGTGTACACATCCCATGTGCTCTTCAGGGGAAAATAGAGTAATTAGCGCATTGTCTTCACAGTTTTTCATGTCCTTGATATATCTCTGGTGTACGTTAAATCAACAATGACGACACATGCATTCCATCCGGTTATAAATACTCCCTCCTATAATGTTTTATAGGGCCAATTTAGATTGCTACCCTACCAAAATTTGCTACCCTACTAAAATTTGCCCTACCAAAATTTTGGTAGGTAGCAAACCAAACACCTCTACTAAAACTCTACCAATGCCATAAATTTGGCTTTGCCTATAAACTTATCTCTTATGAGAAAATTTTGGCTTCAATCCAAATAAACATTTTCAACTCTACCCTACCAAAATTTTGGTAGTACCAAATCTTGCCCAAGATTTGGCACTACCAAACATGCCCATAACGTTTGTACACTATTTAAAAGTTTGGCTAATAATAATTCTAAGATACTTACTTTTAAAAACATAGAAATTATATAGAGTTTGGTTATTGTATAATTTTTTATCCAAAGATATTACATAATAATATACTAATTCTATATTTTAATGTATGACACCGTTGACTTTTTATTCAACGTTTGACAATTCGTCTTATTTAAAAAAATTATATAATTATCATTTATTTTATTGTGACTTGATTCATCATCAAATGTTATTTAAGCATGACATAAATATTTTCATATATTGTACATGCATATGTGCAGTGCTACGGGCTAACGGAGACGACGGGCATTGTCACCATGTGCGATCTGCAGCACAACGACAACGGCATCGACAAGGTGGAAATGCCACCGTCATCGACGGATATGACGTTCGTCGCTGTTGCAGCGACGACGACGGAGGTGAAGGAGAGAAGCACCGGCGGCGGCGGCGGCGGCGGTGGCGTCTCGATTGGGCGGCTCATGCCGGATGTGGAGGCCAAGATCGTGGACCCGGACTCCGGCGAGCTCCTCCCGCCCCGCCGCACCGGCGAGCTCTGGGTCCGAGGCCCCTCCACCATGCGAGGCTACCTGAACAACGAGGAGGCGACCGCCCTGGCCCTGGTCGCCGCCGCCGGCTCTGTCTCCGTCTCCGGCGGCGGCGAGCGGTGGCTGCGGACCGGTGACCTGTGCTACGTGGACTCGCGTGGGCTGGTGTACGTGGTAGACAGGGTGAAGGAGCTGATCAAGTGCAACGCCTACCAGGTGGCTCCGGCCGAGCTGGAGGACGTCTTGGCCACCCACCCTGACATCCACGACGCAGCCGTCGCGCCGTCAGTACACTGTTCTGTTTGATTTAGACTATTGAGCGGATTTAGAGATAAATTAAATACTTTAAGAAAATAGTCTTATTAAATATAGCTTAAAACATGTGGTCTAGTACTAATACAGGAGAAGAAAGTTTTCGACAAAATGTGTATAAAGAGTTAAAACGTGAAACAAATAATTTACAGCTCACACTCTCCAACTCTGCATATATATGTATGGCTAATTAAGTGTAGCATTGCAGGTATCCCGACAAGGAGGCCGGCGAGATCCCGATGGCATATGTGGTCAAGAAACAAGGCAGCGGCCATCTTCAGGAAGATGAAGTCATTTCCTTTGTACAGAACAAGGTACATATATACGTATAGGGAGATCATTATTCAATTAGTGACAGAGCTAAAATGCAGATTAGATTGCCTTGCTGCGCTGCATTAACCGTTTGAATAGTTCTGATAAATCGAGCATGGATGAATTCATGATGTATATAGGTGGCGCCATACAAGAAGATCAGGAAAGTGGTGTTCGTTGACTCCATTCCAAGGTCTCCTTCAGGCAAAATCCTCAGGCGCCAGCTGAAAAACTTGCTACAGGGGTCTATCCTGCATCGAAGCAGGATGTAACCCATGATCACACGAATAAACACCATGAATTTCCAAAGGTTCAATTATCTTTATCTGGACGTGCAGTCATACTCATATCTATACTCCTTTAAAAATCTCTAGATCTGTCACCCCACTATTCTCATTATAGTTTTTACCTATTACATTGTATAACAGCTAAATCTAAATGATTAGCTACATATAAAATTAAACTAAAGTGAGTATTCTCTATTAAGAAAATGTGAGAAATATATTTCAGGAAGGAGGTGTTTTATTTATTCTGGAAATATTGTGATATATTTTCCTTTAGCCGTAGCAAAGTGCTGACGTTTTGCTAATTTATATACTCATCTGTATTGTACTACTCGTGTGCAAAAGGAATAATGTATATGAATAAACAACATCTACTTATCGGCAGACTCTGCAGCAGTTCTGTTAATTCGTGTGACCATTTTCATGTAAAAATTAGACGAGAGTGCCAAAAAGAGAGAAGAAGTACGGGCTTTACGGGGAGAGCGTGCGACTGGGCCGAAATTCCGAGAAGGAAGCAGATTCATTCCTAGGCCCTCCCGGAGCGAAATGGGCCGCATCAACCGTAGCGCAATGGGCCAAGTTATGGGCTGGTCTTCTCCACTGTCCTGGGCCCATTTCGGGTTCAAGCCCTCGTTGCTCGACTAGTCAAATTTACAGCTTGTGCTTGTCAGATTTTTTTTTTCCCTTGCTAATTCGCCAGATTATACACTAGCTAGTGACCAGACAAGTACACTTGTTGTCACAACTGGAGAAAGAATGGAGAGGCTGGCTAAAAACTGAAAAACTTTATTCGATCATATCTCTAATGGAGCGTACAATTAATTCCGTCAGGTGCAAATACAACATTTGCCCCAGATCATCTCGAATCAAGCAACGAAATAATATTGAAATGTGACAATTCATGCTTCTGAATTCTGAAGAAAACAAATCAAAATGGCACGTACGTAGCTAGATGCATCCTCCTCTGAAATTAACAGTTACTCGTTGACAACCCTGCACATCCTCCTGATCTCGCCATTGGCGGCGGTCTTGACCTCGATCCCGCCCATCTTCACCATCGCCCTCGCGAACCTCCTCTCCCACCTCCCGCGCGCCGCCGCGTTCCGCGCCACCATCGCCGCCGTCGGCCGCGACGCCAGCAGCGCGGCGTCGGAGTCGAACAGCACCTTCCTGTCGAGCACGTTCCGGTAGTACTGCCTGTCCATCCTGTCCGGCGTCACCGCGTCCTGCGCCACCGTCGGGTCGTCGGTGAAGTTGGGGCTCGCCGGGCACTTGCTCCGGAGCGCGGCGGCGAGGCCGGGGTCCATGTCCGACGGCGGCGAGAGGCGGTCGGCGAAGGAGGAGCAGTGGGAGCGGCCGATGGTGTGCGCGCCGGAGAGGGTGACCATGTCGTCGGCGTCGAGGCCCTTCGCCTGGAAGCTGGCGACGAGCTGGGTGAGGTTGAACACCGGCGGCGGGAGGAACGCGAGCGTCTCGTTGGCGAGGGAGACGCGTCCGTCGAGCCTCCCCGCGGGGATGCGGTAGCTGATGCCGCCGCCGCTAAGGAAGAAGGAGGCGTCGCGCGCCGCGAACGCGATGATGTCGGCGCAGGAGACGACGCCCGGGCAGGCCTTCTCCACCGCCGCCTTCGCCGCGTCGATCACCTCGAACCCCCGCAGGCTGGGGAAGTTCGGTGGGCCGAGCTTCTCCGGCTGCGGGTTCGCCGCCGTCGGGTCGAGCAGCACCGACGCGTCACACCCCTGCAACCACGAACGACTTGTCACTCAGTGTCATCAATTGCGGCAACCAATGTTGCGTATCCATGGATCGCCATGGACGTACGGATCGATCTGTGTACCTGGACGAAGCAGTCGTGGAAGAACATGCGGACGATGCCGGCGCCGACGCCGGGGTTCTGGCGGACGGCGTTGCCGACGACGGCCCTGACGACGTACTCCGCCGGCGCGCACTTCCGCTTGTAGTACCCAACCCTAAGCCGCCCCTGGCACGCCGCCGCCATTGCCAACACGCACGCCACCCACATCGCAACCCTAGCCGCCGCCATGGTCGACCTCCTCAGCTACTCACACACTCCACTACCGTTGTCTGAATGGCTAAGCTCTCCATTGCACGTCCATTTATAGCACAAATCCGAATCGATCAGATGGACAGAGAGCTAGCTAGTGACAGACTAGTGGTCGGAATCCGGAAGAAATTTGCAGGGTTTTTGTCTGCGCGGACAGCGCGGGAAGAACACATGCAAGAACAGCTCAGCTAGCATGCGAGGCTCGCTGACTTTGGAGCTAGGAATTAAGGAGAAAATAATTAACGATCGAAAAATTATTAATCCGGCGTCGCATGTGAGCATGTGTATTATATTGTCTCACTGCATGACTCTGCATGAGGGAGTATGGGCTTGATTTCAAGCTCGAACACCCTGCGAGCAGATTGGAAGGATAAGCTTTTGTTTTAGCCGCCATTGATTTGTTTACTCTGCTGGGGTGGATGTTAAGCACATTCCGGACAATAATTCCGGGATTGATTAATTAGGATAACTAGCTGTCGCCATGAGAGTCAAATGGGTCTCAGTGTATCAGCAGATTAATTTTGGGGGAGCTCTCTGAAGTCTATCTCAGCACTGATGCAACTTCTCATAAATTCTGCCCGGCCCAAAAACGTAGGTAACATGGGGAGATGGAGTTCTCAATTTTTTTTTTAAAAGATGGGGAGATGGAGATGAAAAGAGCAAACTGTTTTGCACGTCAAGAACTCCAAGTTGTTAAATCTGAAGCTTAATTCCAGATAACAATTACATGTTGGTATTTCTGTAGTTGATCGAGCACAGACCGATCGACCGCCCGTGTTAAGTAAAGATTTTGTTTTTTTGGAGAAAAAAAAGTATATCTCGGCCGTGTACCAAGGATGTCCGCACATCAAGGATATGTTTATACCACTACTGTGGTATCCGCACTTCAAGGCTAGGAAGGAGCTGTTGTGTTTGTTTGAAAAGGTGCTAAGATTTCAGAGAATTTGAATACTTCTATAAATTCTTATTAACATCACGTTATTGCAAACAAAAGTTTTACTCATTGTTTGGCTTAATTATGCTGATGCTTATAAGCCAGAATTTGAATTTTAGAACTTAATTTTGAATTTGTTTTTTTCATCGTACTTTATTTTATAGCAATTGCTTTTGAGTCACTAAGTATATGTGTATAAAAGCTTTTCCCACAGATGATTTTTTATTTGCCAGTAAGTGATTCCAGTAAACATATGAATAAGCGAAACAATGGCGCTATAAGATTTCAGAGTATTTCATGTCACTAGTGACTATAGCTAAACAGTTCCCCTGTTTATGTCATCCCTGACTTCACTTTTCTTGTTGAGACATGCCGTACTGATACATTGCTGGACCTGCCTACAACAGAAAAAAGGGTACACAGAGTTCTCGCTCTGTCCTATAGAAAACATAGAATAGAATATGATATATCTTGTTCAGATTTGTTGTACTAGAATATCACATTCTGTTTGCTTTTTATGTAACGGAGAGAGTATGGTGTAAAATTATGCTACACCTACGGGCGCTACAGCTGATTCATACGCAGCTAGGTAAAACTTTTCTATATAGTATATTTTGTCCCAATAAAAAGTGATCAGATCAGTCCAAGATTACAAGATGCACCCTATACCAAATTCTACAGATCAAACTACAACATGCATGTTTAGAGTGCAGAAGCTAGCCTCCATTATCCTCGAATTTGTTATAGACTTATAGTAGTAGTTTATCGCTCGCTACGGCATCAGTAGACCAGAAAATTTAAATTGCATACATGCATGCATGTTTGCAATTAATTAACAACCGTTAATTGGCAGATGGTATCAGCCAAACTGACACAGTTCACGACCACTGTAAACTACTCCAATCAAACTCCAAAATCAAAGAAAATTTGCAAGGTGTGTATGGGGAGTAATGGTCCGTGATAGATGATGACTGATGCATGTGAGTTGCCACTTGCAAGCGCACACTCTTCCAGTGAGGTGGCCGGACGATTGATCATACGGATCGAAATGGGCGCAAGGAGTACGTAGGATCTGGATCACTCGATCGGGAGGTATCACGTTTCGGACCACGGGCCTACGTGTGTATGTAGGCCTGATGCCGTCAAGATTAGATTTCGGATGGAATCTTGGAGAAGAAAAGGGGGAGCCAAGCCCAGGTAGAATGCTAGGCCCAAAAACTGGTCGATTATTTTAGTGGAATAAGTTTATTTTGTCTCCCTCAACTCATGTCCCTGGTTGAACTGCATCCCTCAACCACAAATCGGGTATAACCAGTCCCCTAACTCCTAAAACCGTTGCAAATCAACTCCCTGGTTTGTTTCGGAGGTGGTTTTATTCCACGTGGCATCTTTAACCCCGTTGACTGGCTGAGTCAGCTCGTAGAACCCACATATTAGTGTTAAGCATTAAAATGAAAAATGGTAGGGCCCACTGTCCGCCACACTTCTCCTCTACTTCTCTAGGCCTTCTCTCGCTCCTCCATCCGCTCGGAAGACTCGCCGGGGATGGCTATGTACGGGTAGGGTTGAAACTAGTTCGCATAGTTTCCGTCCGTCCGGACCATTTTACGAATTCGGATAGTTTCGGTCGGAACTATCCGGAAATTCTCGGATTCGGAAACGAATTCGGATATTTTTTCTCGGAAACGAAAATGAATACAGTAAGGGTACTATCCGTCAAAATCGGAAAACGGTCAGAAACTATCCGGAATTTTTTTCAGATATCCGCAGACATTGAGCAAATTTTAGAAAAAACACGTATATACACATAACTTTTTCATACGAAATCAGATGGAGACAAACTTTATATCAACATTGTGGAGATTATGATTACCCCATATCTACATGGCGGTTATATTCCAGCTGGATATACGGTACCAAATATAGATAGAATATCTTTATGAGGACTCGGGTTAGATTCTAAACTTGTATGTCAAGAAAATACCCGGGATCCTAGTCGGTTACAATTGTATTTTATCTGTAATTCCATATTCCGTTAGGATATGGACTGTATTCTGTAATACGGATCCCTTCCCCTATATAAGGAGGGGTCCGGGTTCCTCTCGGGATGATTCTTTTTTCCAGTTTATACAATCAATAACACACTCGGCGGAATCATCCCCGGACAGGAGTACGGTATTACTTCTTGAATAAGAAGGCCTGAACCTGTATAAAATTCCTTGTCTCCAAACCCATCCACTTTCCTAGCTTGATAGCCACCCCCTTTTATTATTGCCGAAATCTTGTTTCGACAGTTGGCGCGCCAGGTAGGGGTAGCGTCAAGTTCTCGCCGACTAAGTGCGATGGGTTTCGTTTCTGGCATCGACGACTTCGCCTTTCCTCCCGGGCAGGCGTTCCGGTTCGGCAGCCTCAACTTCATCACCAATGACTTCGGCAAGATCTCTCTCCTTGACTCGGATTCAAACCAGTCGGGGAGAGACCAGGTCCAAGTGCCATTCGGTATTCCGAACTCGGCCAAGACCTACTCTAAGATCATCTCTCCCGAGTCGGCTTCAAACCACTCGGATGAGATCCAATCTACTCTTCCGCGACCAGATCAAGACGACGGGTCCTATCCCTCAATACTGATGAAACTTCCTGATGATTTGGCCGCTGTCTTCACAGTCAAGACATCTCCCACTCGAAGATCTAGGCGAGCTCCGGCTTCGGCCCCGATCCGATCTAGATCCAGGGAGGTTGGCGTTATACTCCAACCTCTCGGGACAGTCTCGACGGAAGAGTTGGATGGCTACCTCAGCTCCCCCGGCGTCAGTTCTCGACCAACCGAGATCCTCCACTACGACGATTTTGGCTACCACTATGACCACGGCGACCTCGACAACTTCGACGATAGCTATGAGGATAACTACATGCCCCTCTTCTTCGGCGTATTCATGGCTGACAACGAAACGGAGGAACAGCGCCAAGCCCGAGAAGCGGACCAAGAGCGCACATGCCAAGAGACTGAACGTCGCCGACTGGAGGAAGAACGACAACGACAAGAGCGAGAACGACTACAGCGTGAGCAACAAGATCGCGAGCGAGTTGCAAAGGAGGCTGAAGATCGACGACAGCGCGCCTTGGAATCCGGGCGACGAGCGAGAGACCTCATTGGGCAACAGGACATCGATGGAACAACGGTTTTTCGCACCCCCCAGCAGAACGCGGTTGCAGCAATCACTCTCCTCGACACCCTCCTCAAGGAAGACGCACTCAATCAAGCTGATCATGTTGTCAACATCTTGAACCAGACGAAGACTATGATCGCTGCCTCAGTTCCGGCCAACTCTGCAAGTACCCGCACCCCGACTGGAAGCCGAGTCCCTCATCTTCGATCTCAAGATTATCATCAACCAAGCCTCAGCATCATCGGCACAGGATCCAGTCGTAGGAGCAGGGACCACGGCGAACGATCTGTTCACTCGCCTCCCGAACGTCACAGGGAACGCCGAGTCGAACGGCCTCACTCTCCGCCTCACCAGCATCCCGTCGATCTTCGCGACATGATCAACCAGCGCCGTGCAGCACGAGGTCACCGCTATTCACCTGATCGCTACGACGACGACGTGGATGGAGTGGCTGCCTTCACCAATGACCTGCGTCGAGTGGATTGGCCAGTCAGTTTCAAGCCGACTGGAATTGAAAAGTATGACGGCACCACCAATCCGGAGTCTTGGCTCACCGTCTACGGACTCGCAATCCGCGCAGTAGGAGGAGGCAGCAAGGCCATGGCAAACTATCTGCCTGTGGCCCTAGTAGATTCCGCCCGATCCTGGCTCCACGGTCTACCCCGTGGCACGATTGGATCATGGGCGGAACTTCGTGATCACTTCATCGCCAACTTCCAGGGCACCTTTGAACGCCCCGGCACACAGTTTGATCTCTACAACATCGTTCAAAAACCTGGAGAATCCCTTCGAGACTACATCCGACGCTTCTCCGAGCAACGCAATAAGATCTCCGACATCACCGACGATGTCATCATCGCTGCCTTTACCAAAGGCATTCGCCACGATGACCTAGTCGGCAAGTTCGGACGTAAACCTCCCAGGACGGTTAAGCAAATGTTCGAAAAAGCCAACGAGTATGCCAAAGCCGAAGATGCTATTACCGCATCCAAGCAGTCGGGCACCACTTGGAAGCCAAAGAAGGACACGCCGACTACAGGAGGGAGTGGAAGTAACAACCACAAG